AGACTGACAGACAGACAGACACATACATACATACATACATACATACATACATACATACACTTTTATTATACACGTAGATACTCGAGCTGGCATACAAGTTTCTCAGACAAAAAGGGGTCGCGAGTGGAAAAAGCTTAGGAAGGTCTAGTCTAGATGACCTTTGGTGTTCCTCCCAACTGTATGAAATCCAATTTTAATCCAGTATTAGTCTAAAACAACTCCGAATAGTCTCAAGAACATTCAGTGTCTCATTCCGGGCATAGTTTCGATCCAGCGCATTTAGACTTTGGTTGTTATCTTGGTCTTTCTTGGTCACGCCTAGACTTTGGAATTCGTCCTTTCAATGAGGAATAATAGACTTCCTTGGAGCAGAATGCGTCTTTTGGAGAACCACCATGGAAGTTGGCAGCCTCATTGGTGGGTTCCTCCAGTGAAGGAGGTCAGGCTACATGACCTCTAGGGTACTATCCAGGTCTATGATTCACAACCTGCTCGTAAAGATGCTGACCGTAAGCAAGATCCCACGGCCAAATGGCACCACCCGGCCTCCTCCCACGCGTCTCCAGACGCTCAGCCCCAGTAATGGGTTGTCAGCGAGATTACCCAAATCCGCCATGAATGGGGACAAGATGTTCGCCCTAATCTCCCCAGGCCAAACCAGTTTATTCCATGGCTGAATAGCGAGTGACTCAGGGGAGACAAGGCCAAACGTCAAAGCATCAAGTCCGGGCGAGGAGAAGCCCAAAGAAGAGGAAATTAGATATCGAAGGAGGGAGAAGCGGAAGAAACCACGATGGTGCAAGTTCTGAAGTCGCACCTAGGCGTCACCAAGAAAACCCAAATTCTTGAATGCCATGGGTTGAAACTATGCCCGGAATGGGACAAAGCCAGGCATTGAATATTATCAAGAAGATTCAAAGTTGTTTTAGACTAATACTTGATTCACGTTGTCTTTCATAGAGTTGGGAGGAAGACCCAGGGTCATCTAGACGGGGCCTTCTTAAACATTGTCCACTCGCAAACCCATTTTGCCTTAGAAATTTTCATGCGACCCCAGGGATATCAATGTATGTATATATGAAAAGTCAATCTCTCTCTCTCTCTTCTATGTGTATTTGTATGTATTTTCCAAATTGGCTTCCACTTCCAGAGAACACGGTGACTCCTGCCAACAACAACAACAACAACAACACTATGTAACACAATTTTTGTTCCTGGGTTATAAATTTCATTTCCTAATTGGTTCTATCCTGAAAACACGGGAAAACTTTATCAAACTGCCAAAACTTTGTCTTTGAAGAAGGGATATCTTGCAGCATGTTTTGCTAAAGTTTTTCAATGAATATCTCCTAAAGCAGCGGTTCTCAACCTGGAGGTCGCGACCCCCTGAGGGGTCGATCGGCCAGTTGAGAGGGGTCGTGGTGCCATCTCCCCCCCCCCCCCCCCCCCCCCCCGCCTCCCCAAAATGGCTGAGGAGGCATGAGCCAGGCGAGAAGCTTCACGCAGAGCCTGGGCCAGGCCATCGGCCTTCCGTCATCTGGCTCTCACCACCTGCTGGACCCAGCAAAAACATGAGCCAGGCAAGAGGCTCCAAACTGGGCCGGGGTCTTGCCAGGGGGCCTTCATTGCCTTACTCTCACTGCCTGCCAGGCTGCCTGCTGGATCTGGGATTGGGTCTTGCTGCAGGGCCCCTGGTGCCCAGCTCTCACCACCTGCCAGGTAGGTGCCAAGTTGGACATGAGAGTTCTGTATGCTAAGTCTGGTTCAATTCCATTAAATGCTCTTTGATTGCAGGTGCAACTACAACTCCCAAATGTCTGGGTTTATTTTCCCCAAACCTCTCTAGTATTGTCTGATGGTCATGGGAATTCTGTATGCGAGCCCACACAATCTCTTCAATCTTCTGGAGAGGTCCTGCTCACGCTCCCACCTGCATCGCAAGTGCGATTGGTGGGGACGAGAGAGAAGGCCTTTTCGGTGGTGGCCCCTCGACTCTGTAACTCACTCTCTAAGGACATCAGGCATGCCCCAACCTTGGCAATCTTTAAGAGGAGCTTGAAGACATAGTTGTTCCAGTGTGCCTTCCCAGAATAGTGACCCCATAGCACTTTGTCCTCCAAAGCACTTCATATTGTTTTAGGTCTGCTTGTATGTTTCCATAAACCACCCTATCACTTCCTTCGCCCATGTCCAGCATTACTTTAATTTTAATTACATTTGGCCTACCCATAGTTTTTAAAGTGTGTTGTCCTATTTGATAATGTTTGTGTTGTTGCTTCATTGTTTTGTTGTTTTTAAACTGCTTGTATTGTTGTATTTTGGGCTCGGCCTCATGTAAGCCGCACCGAGTCCCTTGGGGAGATGGCAGCGGGGTATAAATAAAGTGTTATTATTATTATATTATTATTGTTGTTATTATTATTATTATTATTATTATTATTATTATTATGCCAAGTTTGGTTGAATTCTAATGTTGGTGGAGTTCATAATGCTCTTTGTTTGCAGGTGCAACTCCAACTCCCAAATATCTGAGTCTATTTTCCCCAAGCCTCTCCAGTATTTTCTATTGGTCATGGGAGTTCTGTATGCCAAGTTTGGTCTAGGTCTGTAATTTGTGGGGGTCTCAGTAGTCTGTGGAAGTCAGAGCTGACGGTACTGCAAATCCCATCATCCATTGTCCATACTCCCCCAAACATGTTTTTGTGATTAATCATTATGCTTTAATGATTTTCAATTTGTAACAATGAAAATACATCTTGCATATCCAATATTTACCTTACGATTCGATAACAGTAGCAAAATCACAGTTATAAAGTAGCAACGGAAATAATTTTATGGTTGGGGATCAACACAACATAAGATATTTAGTAGGCTTGGGCGATCAAGAAAAAAATTGGTTCTAAACTCGTTTCGTTTCTAGGGTGCGCTAGCGTTTCGAAATTCTGAGGACTTCCGAAATTTAAGATTTCAAAATTTCGAAATTTCTGAAATTTTGTAAATTACGAATCGATTCGTTAATGGCGGACGCGATTGCGCAATATGCTAAAAAAACCTCCAAATGGGACAGGGGGAACTTCTGAAGCTTCCCTCTCCCTCTGTTGTTGACTGTTGGTGTGATAAAACAAACAACAACTATATTATATTATATTATTATAATATTATATTATATTGTTGTGTATTATATTATAATATTATTATATTATATTATTGTATATTATATTATATATTATAATATTATTATATTATATATTATTATATTATTATATTATTATATTATATTATATTATATTATATTATATTATATTATATTATAATATTATTATATTATATTATTATATTATACAATTATAATATAATATAATAATACTATAATATAATAGTATTATTATAATATTATATTATATTATATTATAATATTATAATAATATATATTATATTATAGTATTGTATATTAGAGTGAGGCAAGAAGAAGCATGAGGAAAGAGGAGGGAAGCAGCAGAGCAAAGGGACCGGAAGTGGGGTAAATGCGAGATTGTAAAACTTGCACCAGACATACGAAAATAATTACGAAATAATTACGAAATAATTACGAAATAATTACGAAAATTGGAAAAATTGTTTCGATTCTTAATTACTCCTCACACTATTCCTGCATGGTTCGATATTGGATCGTAAGCTAATTTAAATACGAATTAATAACGAATTACGAAATTAACGAACTGGATCGCCCAAGCCTAATATTTAGGTGTCATGGCATTAGAAAGATTGAGAACCGCTGTCATAGAGTCTCAACCAATTCAACATAGTGCTAAATTGTTCTGGTTTGATGTTACTATTTCAGTGGTTTAAACTTCTTTAAACCACTGAATTGAGTCGGCCTGCCAGAAGAGATGGGTCTTCAATTCCAACACATTTGTGGGATCTTTTCCTTCGAAAGGCTGTTCCACAATGGATCTGGGCCAAATTTGACCTCCTGATGACCAACTTGAAATACTGGAGGGATATGGTGGGGAATTTACCCTAGATGATGGGAGTTGTGGTCGATTTATATCCAGAGAGCGCTGTGACTCCCACCGACAATTGATCTGGACCAAACTGGGCACACAGACTTATCATTACCAACTTTAAGTACTGAGGGGAGGAGTGTGGAAGAGATTGACCGCGGAAGATGGGAGTTGTAGTCTGTCCACATCCAGAGAGCGCTGTGAACCCCACTGGCCGTGGATCTGGACCAAAACCAGCAAATAATAATATTTCCCAAAATCAAACTCAAATGCAGAAGTCTGACTCTAATAGTAAACAACACAAGTGATAAAGTTAAGGCAGAGCGGCCCCTGGTGGCCAGAGAGTGGAAATACGCTTTCACCATCTGACAAATATTGGGAAAAACCAAATCCTTTTACACTATCTAGCCTAGATAGATAGATAGATAGATAGATAGATAGATAGATAGATAGATAGATAGATAGATAGATAGATAGATAGATAGATAGATAGATAGATAGATAGATAGATAGATAGATGTTTGCAGTGCGATCAAGGAATTGTTTTACTTATGCATTGCCCTTGGACTGCGAGAAGATCCAACCAGTCCATCCTCCAGGAAATAAAGCCCGACTGCTCACTGGAGAGAAAGATACTAGAGACAAAGTTGAAGTACTTTGGCCACATCATGAGGAGACAGAAAAGCCTAGAGAAGACAATTATGCTGGGGAAAGTGGAAGGCAAAAGGAAGAGGGGCCGACCAAGGGCAAGATGGATGGATGGCATCCTTGAAGTGACTGGACTGACCTTGAGGGAGCTGGGGGTGGTAACGGCCGACAGGGAGCTCTGGCGTGGGCTGGTCCATGAGGTCACGAAGAGTCGGAGACGACTGAACGAATGAACAACAACAACATGCATTGCCCTCAATATTTTTAGGCAGAAAGCAGGATGTCAAGGAATTTAAAAATATATAAAGGTCAGACTAAAACCCAAAGCGGACATGGGATCTCACTCACCGAGATCTTGGTGAAGACAGAAAGAAGGAGAGACAAGGACGAGAGGTACATCCGGATTCTCTCTCCACCAAATCGTTTCTGGAGGTATTCAGGCATTGTCAGGATCTGGCAAAAGAAAGAGATTGTGTGCCAGATCCCATTTAACATTGATCTGTTTATCATCTCTCTTGATTGATCTATTTATATCTATCTAACCGTCTGATATCTCTAAGGATTATCTATCTACATACCTATCTATCTATCTATCTATCTATCTATCTATCTATCTATCTATCATCAACCTAGTATCTATGTATTATCCATCTCAATACATGTACGTATCTATCTATCTATCTATCTATCTATCTATCTATCTATCTATCTACCTACCTACCTGTTTCTATCCATCCATCCATCTATCTAGTATCTTTATTAAACTATGTATCCTTTATTTACTGTAGATCTATCTGTATAATGTATCTATCTGTGTAGTATCTCTACCTATGTATTATCTATCTATACGTCTATCCAGTATCTCTCTCTCACCCATCTGTATCTGTCTGTCCAATTATCCATCCAATATGTCTATATATCATCTTAATCTATGTGTTATTGATCTATCTATCTATCTATCTATCTATCTATCTATCTATCTATCTATCTATCTATCTATCTATCTATCTATCTGTCTGTCATCTATCTATATATACCTATCTGTCCATTTGTTCATCCATCCATCTAATATCTCTGTACAGCATTTTCTCTAGTGTCTCTAGGTCATCTAACTATGTATCATCCATCTATATCTATCTGTCCATCCATTCAATATTTCTAAATATTATCAATCTATTTAGTATCTCTATCTATGCATCATCTATCTGTCTGTCTGTCTGTCTGTCTATTTCTTTTTTGTTGTGACAGGAACGACTTGAGAAACTGCAAGTCACCTCTCACACCAGAAGCGACTTGCAGTTTCTCAAGTCACTCCTGACACACACACACACACATATATATCCATATCTCAGTGCTATGGAATATTGAGAGTTTGGTGTCTCACCAAACTGCAACTCCCAGGATTCCATTGCACGGAGCAGTGGCAGTTCAAGGGGTATCAAACTGTATTAATTGTTCTGTGTAGATGCACCCTGAGTCTCCACTTACCTCTGAGGAAACATAGACAGGTACAAACACCCAGGCCAATGCCAGGAGCACGTAGGTGGCCTATACAGGATGGAGAAGAGAAGGAAAAACGTATTATAAGTATACTATATTATATTATATTGTCTTATGCTATGGTATGGTATTCTGTGCTGTGCTATGTTATGCTGTGCTATATTATATCAAGCCCCTTCAAGTTTGGACTTAAATCCAAAGAAGATTCTTAACTTGGAAGGTGCCAGCGATCACCGATTAAGCAAATGAGCAAAAGGTAAAATAAAAATAAAAATAAATTGTAACATATAATAGATAATATAAAATAATAAAATAAATAATAAGAATAAAATAAAAATAAATTATAACATATAACATATAATATAAAATAATAAAATAAACAATAAATAAGAAAATAAATATCAAAACACAGTATAAAATATAAAATAAAATAAAAGTACATTATAAAATATAATATAAAATATAAAATAAAAATACATGATAAAATATATTATATAATAAAAATAATAAAATAAACAACAAATAATAAAATAAAAATAAAAATATAGTATAAAATACAATATATAAAATAAAAAATACATGATAAAATATAATATAAAATAATAAAATAAAATAAAATAAAATAAAATAATATAAATTGCCCTTACGTTCCATTCGAAGCCAGCCACGGCAATCCCCCCGGCAGCTCCGGTCCCAGCCAAACCAATGAAAAGGCCTGATCCTTCGCTGCTGGCAAAGAGGGACGCTCCGATCTTCAAACCAAAAAACAAAAAATTACTTCCCTTCCTTTAATGCATTTCAAAGTTATGTTTTATGCACCTGAACTTGGTGATGAACCACCCGAAAAAGGAGCAAGGCATGGACTCACCGGCCACCACGCGATGCTCCTCCCAGCCAAGAAGTAGCCACTTAATGTGCTTCGGTTTGCTCTCCACGAAGACTGAGATAATTGGGAGAGAAGGGAATGCAGTCAACAAGTGCATCTACACTGTAGAGTTAATGCAGTTTCGTACCACTTGAATTGTCATGGCTCCATGTGACGAGACCCTGGGAGTTACAGTTTGGTGAGGCAGCAGCCCTCTTTGGCAGAGAAGGCTCAGGGCCTTGGGAAACTATAGCTCCCAGGATCCCATACCATTGAGACATGACGATTGAAGCAGTGCCAAATTGCATTCATTCAACGGTGCAGATGCACCTAAAGAGAGAGATTTAAGCTATGCCTTTTTTAGATTGCTCTAAGTTTAATTCAGTGTTATGTTTATAGTCTTAAGGTCTAAATAGTATATAGTATGGTTTTTAGCGCTGTTCACCACTTTTGAGTTTCGTTAAGAGAGGAAAAGCAGTATATAAATCAGTGTAATGCATAATCATACTCCACAGATGAGGGGTGAGTCTTTCTTACCCAAATGCCGACTGCCAAGTTTAAGACGAAATAGGCCACCACCACAATCACATCCAAAATGCTGAACTGTGGCGAAGCAGCCGCTTCAAGATGCGAGCCCTCCTCTGCCGACATCGTCTTGAAAGAAGCCCCGACTCTGTTCGAAACTGGCTGCTGACCAGTCCTGAGGAATTGATCATTAAACCACTTAACCGCCGGGATGTTTTTGGTGCGGTGAAGGGTTTGCGCACGAGCGACCAGGACACTTTTGCAGCCGGAATGAGGAAAGGTTCAGAAGGAGTCGTGCCAAGCCTGGGAGGCCTAGTTTCCCAAGGCCTTCCCTGCCAATCTATCTGCATCCCTATCTCTATCTATCTATCTATCTATCTATCTATCTATCTATCTATCTATCTATCTATCTATCTGTCATCTCTATGTATCATCAATCTACACTTATCTTTATCTGTCTGGTATCCCTATGTGTCATCTGTCTATCTATCCACCCATCCATCCACCCATCCATCCATCCATCCATCCATCCATCTATCCATCTATCTCTATTGAGTATCTATGTGTATCATCTATCAATCATCTATCTATCTATCTATCTATCTATCTATCTATCTATCTATCTATCTATCTATCTATCCATCCATCCATCCATCCATCCATCCATCCATCCATCCATCCATCTATCCATCTATCCATCCATCCAGTATATGTATCACCAATCTAGGTAGTTGTCTATTGATCTATCTATCTATCTATCTATCTATCTATCTATCTATCTATCTATCTATCCATCCATCCATCCATCCATCCATCCATCCATCCATCCATCCATCTATCCATCTATCCATCCATCCAGTATATGTATCACCAATCTAGGTAGTTGTCTATTGATCTATCTATCTATCTATCTATCTATCTATCTATCTATCATCTATCTATCTATCTATCTATCTATCTATCTATCTATCTATCTATTTATCTATCTAATTATCTCTATATATCATCGAAATCTCTCTTTATCTGGTATCTCTATGTGACATCTATCCATCTATCTATCTATCTATCTATCTATCTATCTATCTGATCATCTCTATATATCATCGAAATCTCTCTTTATCTGGTATCCTCTATGTGACATCTATCTATCCATCTATCCATCCATCCATCCTATCTAGTGTTTCTGTATATCAACTATCAATCATCTATCCATTCATCCATCCATCCATCCATCCATCCATCCATCCATCCACCCATCTAGTATCTATCTAGTTGTTGTTGTTGTTGTTGTTGTTGTTGTTGTTATTATTATTATTATTATTATTATCTCTATGTATCACTGATCTAGGTAGTCAGTCAATCTATTTATTTATTTATTTATTTATTTATTTATTTATCCATCCATCCCTATCTGTGTATCATCTATCAATCATCTATCCATCCATTCATCTAGTATTTCTATGTATCACCGATCTACTGTAGGTAGCCTATCTATCTATCTATCTATCTATCTATCTATCTATCTATCTAATCATCTCTATGTATCATCTAAATCTCTTTATCTGGTATCTCTATGTGATATCTATCTATCTATCCATCTATCTATCTACCCATCCATCCCTATCTTGTATCTCTGTGTATCATCTATCAATCATCTACCTATTCATCTATCCACCTAGCATCTCTATGTATTACCGATCTAGGTAGTCTGTCTGTCTGTCTGTCTGTCTGCTTACCTACCTACCTACCTATACATCCATCCATCTCTATCTAATATCTCTGTGTATCATCTATCAATCATCCATCCATCCATCTATCCAGTATCGCTATGTATCACCAATCTAGGTAGTCTATCTACCTATCTACCTATCTACCTATCTACCTATCTACCTATCTATCTATCTATCTATCTATCTATCTATCTATCTATCATCTCTATGAATAATCTAAATCTCTCCTTATCTTGGATCTCTATGTGCCATCTATCTACCTATCCATCAATCTCTACTTAGTATCTCTATGTATCATCTATCAGCTAGATAGATGATACTATCCATCCATCCATCTAGTATCTCTGTGTATCAGTTATCTATCCATCTATCTGGTATCTCTATATATCATCGATTGAGGTAATCTGTCTGTCTGTCTATCTATCATCTCTGTGTACCATCTATCTTTGTCTCTCTGTTGAGCTATCCATCATCTCTACGTATCATCTAAATCTATCTTTAGATCTAAATCTATCTTTATCTGGTATCTCTCTGTAACGTCTATCTTTCTGTATGTTGAGTATCTGTGCATCATCTCTAGTCTGTCCGTCCATCCATCCAGTCTACCTATCCATCCATCCATCCATCCTTCCATCCATCCATCCTTCCATCCTTCCATCCATCCATCCATCCATCCATCCATCCATCCATCCGGTCGGTCGGTCGGTCGGTCGGTCGGTCTATCTATCTATCTATCTATCTATCTATCTATCTATCTATCTATCTATCTATCTATCTATCTATCTATCTATCTATCTTATCATCTCTATATATCATCAATCTATCCAGTATCTCTATGTATCATTGATCAATCTATTTATCTAATGTATCTCTCTAGCTCAGTGGCTTCTCAACCTGGGGTCCCCAGATATTTTTGGCCTACAACTCCAAGAAATCCCAGCCAGTTTACCAGCTGTTAGGATTTCTGGGAGTTGTTGGCCAAAAACATCTGAGGACCCCAGGTTGAGAACCACTGCCTAGCTTTCCCTCCCAAAGAGTGCAAACTACAAATCCCAGGATACTATCACATGGAGCCATGGTAGTTCAAGTGGTTTTCAAACTGTATTCATTCCTCAGTATAGACTGATGCAACTAGTACCCTCCCTTATGAGCCAATCCAGGCCCTCATCAAACTCCAACTCTTAGGATCCCACGGCACTGAGTGAAAGTGGCAATCGTTCTGCAGCGTGGAGGCCCCGCAGGAGTGCTGCTTAGAAGCCCAGCTTTGCCATGTTTGCACCTTCTGCCTCTCCTGGGAATAGCTGACACTCTCCGTTAATTAATGTCTCAGCCTTTTGCTTGTCTTAATGAAGGGTTTCTTTTAAAGCCTAATCCAGGAATGCTGGGTCTTGCTGAACTTGTGTTCCAGTTTAGTGCCTTCTCCTGGCTGCAAATTCCCCATTGTGGCTTCCTTTTGGTTAGGACAAAAAAGGTCATTTCAGCAGGATTTCTAGGAGTAAATTTTAAGAAAGGTTTTAGGATGCAGTAAAACACCTGGGGTGCACCTACAGCAGGAATTGTGGGAGTTGAAGTTCAAAACACCTGGAGGGCCCAAGTTTGCCCATGCTTGATCTACACTGTAGAATGAATGCAGCGTGACAACCCTTGGTATGGTTAATTGCGATGGAATCATGAGAGTTGTTGTTTTACACAGAAAATCAGGACCTTGCAAAACTACAACTTCCAAGCTTTCACAGTACTGAGCCATGACAGTTAAAGGAGCATAATCTGCATTCATTCTCTAGTTTAGATACACCTAGAGGAGGCTAAAGGCCTTGCAAAACTACATCTTCCAGGATCCTGTAGCATTGAGCTTTGGTAGTTCAAAATTGGTGTCAAACTGCATTCATTCTACAGTGTAGATGCAACTCAGAGACTTTAAAGAAATGTGTATGTACACGTGTTCTTAAGTCAATATATTTTGAACTACTTGATAAACTATTCATCCCCAAGGTTGCAACTTGGGTCCCATCTAAACGTGTTAAAAGACTACAGCTTCCATGTTGCCTCATGGAATAGCTGAGGTTGATGGAAGTTGTGGGCAGCAGTCATCAGGAGGCCTCCTCTTTACTATCCATCATCATCATCATCATCATCATCATCATCATCATCATCATCATCAGGAAGTTCACCTGGGAAGATGTTTTTGAAAGGCAGCAGATTACAGGAGCTGTCTTCATAGACCTGTCAGCAGCTTATGATACTGTAAATCATCAGCTGAGAAAAATGTATAATATCACAACAGATTACCACCTCACCCGCTTCACAGGAAATCTGCTACAAAACAGGAGCTTTTTTGTTGGGTTCCAGGGACAGAGAAGCAGATGGTGGAAACAGAAGAACAGCCTGCCTCAGAGGAATGTGCTTGCTCCATCAATGTTCAACATTTACACAAATGATCAGCCACTGCCAGAAGGGACAGAGAGTTTAATCTATGCTGACGATCGTGCCACCACCGCTCAAGCAGGGAGCTTTGAAATGGTTGAACAGAAGCTCTCCAAAGTTTTAGGTGTTCTTACTGCCTATTACAGGGTAAATCCAGCTGATTCCTAATCCATCAAAGGCAGACATGTGCTTTTCACCTTAAGAACAGACAAGCATCTTGAGTTCTGAAGATTACCTGAGAAGGAATCCCATTGGGAGCATTGTAGCACACTCAAATACCTGGGAGTCACTCTGAACCAGGGAGTCCCTGGTGGCGCAATGGATTGTGCCGGCAGGACTGCTGACTAATAGGTCAGTGGTTCAAATCCAGGGAGAGCAGGTTGAGTTCCATTAGCTCCAGCTCCCCATGTGGGGATATAAGAGAAGCCTTCCAAGGATAGTAAAATATCAAACATCCAGGCTTTCCCTGGACAACGTCCTTGCAGACAGCCAATTCTCTCACACCAGAAGCAACTTGCAAATTTCTCAAGTCGCTCCTGACATTAAAAAAAACCCGAAAAACTCTGAACTGTGCTCTGACTTGCAAAAAGCACTGCTTGACTATCAAGCAAAAAATGGGTGCTAGAAATAATATCATATGAAAGCTGAATGGCACAACCTAAGGATCACAACCACACACAGTGAAGGCATCTGCCCTTGTGCTTTGCTACTCTGCTGCTGAATATGCATTCCCAGTGTGGAATACATCTCACCACATTGAAACAGTAGAGGTGGCTCTTAATGAGATGTGAAACATTATCACAGGATGTCTACTGTTATGCCGTTTAGCCGGTATTGCACAACCTGACATCACTGGGAAATAGCAGTTAGTAATGAAAAGAACCAAGCAGTGACATCTCCGGCCCATCCTCTGTTTGGATATCAGCCAGCACGCCAACGACTTAAATCAAGAAATAGCTTCCAAAGATTTACAGAGATACTTGCTGGAACACCTCAGCAAACGAGAGTCCAAAAGTGGCAGGCTAAAACCCAGAACTTCAAGCCATGGCTGATACCAAATGAGAGACTCTTTCCTGGGCATGCAGAAGACTGGGCGACTTGGAAGGCACTGAACAGACTGTGCTCTGGCACCACGAGATGCAGAGCCAATCTTAAGAAATGGGGCTACAAAGTGGAATCCACGACATGCGAGTGTGGAGAAGAGCAAACCACTGACCACCTGTGTTTCTCAACCTGGGGGTCGGGACCCCTGGAGGGGTCGCGAGGGGGTGTCAGAGGGGTCGCCAAAGACCATCAGAAAACAGTATTTTCTGTTGATCATGGAGGTTCTGTGTGGGATGTTTGTCCCAATTCAATCGTTGGTAGGGTTCAGAATGCTCTTTGATTGTAGGCAAACAATAAATCCCAGCAACTACAACTCCCAAATGTCAAGGTCTATTTCCCCCAAACTCCACCAGTGTTCACATTTGGGCATGTTGAGTATTTGTGTCAAGTTTGGTCCAGATCCATCATTGTTTGAGTCCACAGTGCTCCCTGGATGTAGGTGAACTATAACTCCCAAACTCAAGGTCAATACCTGTGACGATGTGTAAGTTTTATTCTTTGGTTATGTGTAGTTTGGACAGTGGTTAAGGAATGGTAAGTAAGGGAGATTATATTTTGTTAGAGATGGTGGCTAGTGGCTTGAGCTGAGCTGCCATAGCAACGGGGGCGGAGCCGACTATCACTTCACGGCGCAGCTTTTTGAAAGTGGCAGTCTGTGGCCGGTGAGCTACAGGAAGGGACTGATTTCTCTAGTGGGAGAAACAGGGAATTAGTCAGTATGCCAGCGAGCTACTGAGTGAACTGAATCTTTTGGTGGAGATTCAGGGAATCAATTGGTGACCAAGTGGTTGCAGAGAAGGACCCGGTACAGGGGGTTGTTGATTCTGAATTAAGAATCAAGGTTTGGCTGGGTTTAAGCCTGTTGTGCCAGCTGTGAAACCTTATGAAGTGTTTGCCTGAGTTTACTCATGAAACCTTTCCAATGTATCCATCAAGATTTGTGCCTCTTTTGAAGAACAGTTATACATTGTTATACTCCTGTTAAAATAAACTTGTTACTTTTTCCTCAAGCCTTGCCTGATACAGTTTCTTCTAAGTTGAACAGCCTGCAATAATAAAGCCAGCCAGAAACAGTCCCTTTATAAAATAGTTCCTAGGCTGATATTGATCGTTGCCCGGCTTCCCTCATAGATAAGGTGGCAGTGGGTGCTTTACCACATGCACCTTCACAATTGGTGGCATTCGGTGGCATTAAAACGGTCATCGTTACAATTGGTGGCAGCAGTTTAACGACTCCTTCACAATACCCACCAAACCCTTCCAGTATTTTCTGTTGGTCATGGGAGTTCTGTGTGCCGTTTGGTTCAATTCCATCATTGGTGGAGTTCAGAATGCTCTTTGATTGTAGCTGAACTATAAATCCCAGCAACTACAACTCCCACAGGACAAAATCCCCCCCCCCCCCCCCAATCCCACCAGTTTTCAAATTTGGGCATATCAGGTATTTGTGCCCAGTTTGGTCCAGTGAATGGAAATACATCCTGCATACCAGATATTTACATCACTATTCATAACACCAGCAAAATGACAGTTATGAAGTAGCAACAAAACTAATTTTATGGTTGGGGGTACCATAACACGAGGAAGTGTATTAAAGGGTCGCGGCATTAGGAAGGTTGAGATCTGTATTTATCTGACATGATAAATAAATACCTAGGAAGTTCGCCAAACGAAACCATTCCAAGATACACAAAGGAAAACAGAAAAAAATTTATTCTTCCGGTGGCAGAAAATAAATACCAGTGCATACTCCGTACGCTTCTCCCCCCCTATAAAAGCACTTCTACAAAAACGAGAACAAAAAGAGAGAGAAATGTCACTGAACGGCGAACGACAGCGTATATTGCTAACTCTTTAAAGCACTTGTAAGCGAAGCTGTTTCGGATGGAAGAGGAGAAGCAGGGAGGGATGCAATCGAGAGGTTGCTTTTCCCATTAAGTGGTTGGGAAAATCTCCCCCTTTTTTAAGTCCTCGTCTCCCAGAATGCCCCCAAAGACCCTCTGAAATATTGAGGGGCATTTCTATAATGCTCTCAGGTTGCCATGGCTTAAAGGATGGGGACGAAAATGCATTCCTTACATAGCAAAACAGTTTTAGAAAAAGAATTAATATTGAAGGGCCATATATTTTTGGAACAATTTCAGCCAATTTTATGTAGGATTTTGGAGGCATTTTTGAACCACTTAAGGTCACTGTTATGTAGGATTGTTTTTGGACCATTTAGGTCCCTGTTATATAGGATTTGGAACCATTTGAGCCATTTCTGACCCAAGGAAGTGGGATTTGTTTTAGTAACAGAAGTGAAAGGAAGCCTAAAATGGTCAAGCCACTTCAAAAGAGTCTACACTGTCCCTAAAGGGCATTTTGGGGGAAAATGAAGCCCGTCGGAGTGCCCCAGAGCCACAAAAACTCCCCACGGGTTCCCCATCCATATCCTAGAAGAAAGAAAACACGCAATTCCTCTAACAGCAAATACAGAAAAAATTGGATTTCCGCCATTTTCCCGGATCAGGCCTGCTTTTCTCATAGGAAATGTCTTGAAAAACCTTATCTGCTGAATCTGAAATGCAAGGAACAGGGAAGGAGGGAGGGAAGGAAAAGGAACGCGGTGGGACAAAACATGTCCCGCTCAAAAGTACAAAGTGTAGTTAAGCCACAAAATGCTTCACAGCTCGGTTTCTGTCCGTGTCCAGTTTGGCCCCTGAAAGTCGCCTTCCGTCCGTCCCCTTTGGTCAGTCGTCCAGCCCGATGTTTCTGAACAGGTAGGACATGGACTCCCCGTTGTGGATCCGGCGGATGGCCTCCGAGAGGATCAGACTGATGTCCACCGTCTTGATCTTGGGGCACTGCAGCTTCTGGATCTCGTGGGGAATCGTGTTGGTGACCACCACCTGGGGGGAAAGGCAGGGGAGGGGTCAAGGCCAGGGAATGACCCAAGGGCCACCCAGTCCTACTTCTTACGGCCATAAAGGAAGATAGATGATGATGATGATGGTGATTATTATTATTATTATTATTATTATCAGACTTACAGAACTGGAAAGGCCCACAAAGACATCCAGTACAATCCCCTTCGGCCATAAAGAAAGATAGAATTACTATTCTATTGTTATTATTATTAATATTATCATTATTATTATTCAACTCATAGTTGGAAGGGAACCCAAGGCCAAATAATCCAAACCCATTCATCCACAAAGGAAGAAAGAATAATAATAATAATAATAATAATAATAATAATAATTATTATTATTATTATTATTATTGTTGTTGTTGTTGTTGTTATTAGACTCATAAAGCTGGAAGGTACCCCGAGGGCCCTCAAGTCCAACCCCATTCTACCATAAAGGAAGGTATTATTATTATTATTTTTATTATTATTATTATTATTAGACTCATAAACGGTTCCGGCCCAAGATACCTAACTGACCGCCTCTTGGCCTATGAGCCCACGAGGACTTTGAGATCTTCCGGGGAGGCCCTGCTCTCGATCCCGCCTGCGTCACAGGCACGGCTGGCGGGGACGAGAGATAGGGCCTTCTCGGTGGTGGCTCCTCGGCTGTGGAACACCCTTCCCGTAGACATCAGGCTAGCCCCCTCCCTGTTGATATTCCGCAGGAAGCTAAAGACCTGGTTGTTTAAGAAGGCATTTGAATAGAAGTGCAATGACTGGTAACCTGACCACAGGAATGGGACAACGGAAATGGTATTGGATTGTGAACTTGACGATGAGACGACTTGGAATGGCTTTGTAGTAATGTTGAGGTTTTTTGATGAGATGTTTTGATAATTATGTACTGTGGATTATTTTATTTTATATTTGTATCTTGCATCTGTTTTTCTATGTTGTACACCGCAATGAGTCGCCATTAGGCTGAGAATTGCGGTATATAAGCGAAGTAAATAAATAAATAAATAAATAATAGAGCCGGAAGGGACCCCAAGGGCTATCCAGCCCAATCCCATTCTGCCTTATTATTATTATTATTATTATTATTATTATTATTATTATTATTATATTAGACTCATAGAGCCGGAAGGGACTCCAAGGGCCATCCAGCCCAATCCCATTCTGCCATAAAGGAAGATATTATTATTATTATTATTATTATTATTATTATTATTAGACTCATAGAGCCGGAAGGGACCCCAAGGGCCATCCAGCCCAATCCCATTCTAGCTTATTATTATCATTATTGTTGTTGTTGTTGTTGTTGTTATTATTATTATTATTAGACTCATAGAGCCGGAAGGGACTCCAAAGACTATCCAGCCCAATCCCATTCTACCATAAAGGAAGATATAATTACAGTTAATACTGTTTTTATTGTTTTAATTAATGTTCTATTTATTGTTTTAATTGTTGTTATATTGCTTTGTTATATTTAATGGCATCAAATTGCGCTAAATGTAAGCCGTCCTAAGTCCCCCTTTGGGGGTTGAGAAGGATGGGGTAGAAATGCTGGAAATAAATAAATAAATAAATAAATAAATATTGTGTTATTATCCCCATTCTACCATAAAGAAAGATACAACCACAGCACTCTCCCAGTGGATGGCCATCCAGCCTCTGCTTAAAAAAACTCCACTACACACCCTGGAAAAGCAGATTCCACTATCAAATGGCTCTGACCCTCAGAAAGTTCCTTCTAATGTTTAGGGGCAACCTCTTTCCCTGCCATTTGAATCCATGTGTCCTAGGGCCCTTCCAGACAGGCCCTATATCCCTGGATCTGATCCTAGGTTTTCTGCATTAAACCAAATTACATGAGTCCCCACTGCCAGATAATCTGGGATAAACAGAAAGCCTGGGATCAGATCCTGGAATAAAGGGCCCCAAGTCTCCAGAGCAGAAGAAAACAAGCTTGCCCCTTCCTCAATGTCACATCCTTTCATGGCTCACATGTTCCCTTCTCTCTGACTTCTCTTCTCTAAACTAAACATCCCCAGTTTCCAAAGCCACTCTTCATAGAGATCCATGGTTTCAAGACCTTTGACTATTTTGGTGGCCCTTCTCTGTCCACCTTGAATTGCTTTGCCCAGAACTGGACTCAATATTATTCTATGACTTCCCTCGATCTCAACACCAGACTCCTATTGTTGCGGTTTTGAATCATATTGGAATTTTTTTGCTGCCGCATCACACTGTTGGCTCATGTTCAACTTATGGTTGGCTAAAACATAGTATTAGCCCAGGGGAATAGATCCAATCAAAGCAGAATAGAGTGAGGCTGCGATTTCCCTCGATCCGGGCACTAGATTGCTATGGGTGTGGCCTACGATTGCACTCACTTACCTCGTCGATGGCGGACTCCTCTATCAACCGGGGAGCATCCGAGGAGAGAAGGCCGTGGGTGGCCATGACAAAAATCTTGTAAGCCCCCCTCTCTTTGAGCGTCTCGGCCGCCGCGAGGAAGCTGTCCACATCGTCAATAATATCGTCCTGGGAAAGAGGTCACAAGGCCGGAGTTAAGAGATACAGGAGGCCAAGTCCAAGAGCTCTTGAAACATCTCTGTCCCTTTAAAGCAGTGGTTCTCAACCTGAGGGTCCCCAGATGTTTTGGCCTTCAACTCCCAGAAATGCTAACAGCTGGTAAACTGGCTGGGATTTCTGGGAGTTGTAGGCCAAAACACAGGTTGAGAACCCCTGCTTTAAGGAGTAGAATGGAGCACAGAATGTGTTTACCTTCCTTCAAGTTGGGAGCAATTTTGGATGAAGCCGGAAGAAATGTAGCAACTTTTTTTTCTTTTCTGGTTGTTTTATTTTATTGTTTCAATCTTTCCCATTCTATTGTCTTGTTAGTCTCGTTTTTTCTCTCTCGCTCTCTCTTCTTTTAGTTTGTTATTACAACTCATGTTTTTATATAATATGTATTTTAATGAAAACTCTCAATAAAGACTATTACAAAAAAAAAGACACCAGATCCCTCTAATCTTATTTATTTATGACATTTACTAGCCGTCCCCTGCCACGCCTTGCTGTGGCTCAGTCTGGTGATCTGGAAAATAAAGTAATGCAAAAGTGTTTGTTTCTAATATATGTAATTTCTTTATGCTTGTTGGTAAACAGTTATTTCTTGCTGTTTCTTTGTCAGTGTTGATGTGGAGAGTGTCTGGGTTGCCTCCTCTGGAACATGCAACATATAATTGTCCTTCTTTAGGGGTCCATTTCAAATCTATGATACTATTTCTCTGTGTGTGTGAATCATATATCTATATCTATATCTATGGCTGGATGGCTCTTTGTCAGGAGAGCTTAGATTACGTTTTCTTGCCCTGGTGAAGGGAGTTGGACTGGATGGCCTAAGTATGGGGGTTCTGTGTGGGACGTTTGCCCCAGTTGTGTCTTGGTGGGGTTCAGAATGCTCTTTAATTGTAGGTGAACTATAAATCCCAGTAACTACAACTTCCAAATGTCAAGGTCTACTTCCCCCAAACTCCATCTGTGTTCATATTTGGGCATATGGAATATTCCTGTGAAGTTTGGTCCAGATCCATTATTATTTGAATACAAAGTGCTCTCTGGATGTAGGTGAACGACAACTCCCAAACCCACAGTCAATGCCCACCAATCCCTTCCAGTGTTTTCTGTTGGTCATGGGAGTCCTATGTGCCATGTTTGGTTCAATTCCATCCTTGGTGGGGTTCAGAATGCTCTTTGATTGTAGGTGAACTATAAATCCCAGCAACTACAACTCCCAAATGACAAAATCAATTTTTGAGTGAAGGACATACATTGGGTTGTTAGGTGTATTATGTCCAAATTTGGTGTCAATGAGTCCAGTGGTTTTTGAGTTCTGTTAATCCCACAAACAAACATTACATTTTTATTTATATAGATATGCCGCCCTTCTCACCGCGCAGGGGACTCAGAGCAGCTTACAAGTAATATTTAAATACAATATATTATATTATTACCATAGCACAATATTAGTATTATATAGTACTATATTGTAATAATAATAAAATAATAAACTTTATTTGTACCCCGCTACCATCTCCCCAAGGGACTCGGTGCGGCTGACATGAGGCCAAGCCCAAAATACATCAAGCAAAACATCAATAACATCAATAAACAAAACATCAATAAACAATCAATAAAATACAAATCATATAAATCACATGAACAAAAAATGATAAACAATCAATAGTGACATATAAACATTTTAAAAATGGCCAGGCCAAATGTAATAGATTAAAATTGAAAGTATGCTGATGTGAACAGAGTAAAATATAACTGGGATAGGATTTTTCAGAGAAATGAGGGAACGCAGTCAATCCTAAGTCAGTATTAAAGTGCATTATGAGGGCATATTGCTGAGAGTTCTCCTTATTCTGGGAAGACACACTGGAACAACCACGTTTTCAGGCTCCTCCTAAAAACTGCCAACGTTGGGGCATGTCTAATGTCCCTGGGAAGTGAGTTCCAGAGTCGAGGGGCCACCACTGAGAAGGCCCTCTCCCTCGTCCTCACCAATTGCGCCTGCGAAAGAGGTGGGAGCTGAGCAGGGCCTCTCCAGATGATCGAAGAGATCGTGTGGGTTCGTACACAGAAATGCGCTCAAGCAGGTATTGTACTATACCATTATACTGTAATATTATTAGTAATATTACATGTAATATAAAATATATATTTATAATACCGTATTATTATTATTATTATTATTATTAGTAGTAGTAGTAGTAGTATATTGTATTACGTTATAATATTATCCATCTTAATGCTTCAAATGAGAAACCCTTTCTGTCCTTTAACAATCCAAAAGCAAATGCTGATTCAAAACCCACATACCACAATGATGGCTATCCTCCCGCCGACGTCTCCGACCACCGTGATGGGAGGCTTCTCTTTTGGGATCAGCACTGAAGGGAAAAGAAACAGAGAGAGAATAGTCACCTCTTCCCAAATCCTCCTGTTCCTATAAATCTTGGGGTTGTTTTCTGGGTTGCACTGCATTGAGAGTAGACATGGGAGCCTTCCCAAGCGCACGCTGCAGTCGTTCTTCTGCCTTTGTGCATTGGATAAACATTCTCTTTAGGCATCTCTTGGTCCTCTCTAGTTTAGAGAGAAATCTTCTCTAGGAATCTCTCCAATGAAATTGTATAGTCAGCTTCCAGGTGAGAGGTCACCTCGGAGGGACAAAAGACACCCCTGGATTTGCTGTATCTTTGCTTTAAATTGTTGAAAATCCCTTTTTTCAGGCAGTCTGCGAGTTACAACATCCGACTTGCAAATCTATATAAATAAAAATGTAATGTTCGTTTGTGGGATTAACATAACTCAAAAACCACTGGATGAACTGACACAAAATTTGGACACTACACCCCTAACGGACCAACGAGTGACCATCACTCGTAAACCCCTCCAAAAAAGCAGCAGAAAGGACTTGAAAACCCAAAAAGCTAAATGACAATACAGCGCATGCGTGAAAAACAACAGTTTTCAGCATCCCCTAGACCAGGCCCTTTAGGAAAGGAGGATGCTGAAAATGCATTGCTTCCAAGCTGCGAGCTTGCTTCTCCTTGGATTTCTTTGGGAGCATCCCAATCCTCTGCATATTTCCAATTTCCTATTCCTGGACTGCAACTCCCAGCAATCCTCCAGATAGATAGATTAGATAGAGATAGTAGGTAGGTAGGTAGATCAATCAGGAGGAGAATAGGTAGAGAAGGAAGAGAGAAAGAAAAAGGGAGGGGAAGGAATGAATGAATGAATGAATGAATGAATGAATGAATGAATGAATGTTGTTATTATGGGCACAGACCAGGAGGAAGGGAAGGGAAGGGAAGGGAAGGGAAGGGAAGGGAAGGGAAGGGAAGGGAAGGGAAGGAAGGGAAGGGAAGGGAAGGGAAGGGAAGGGAAGGGAAGGGAAAGGAAGGAAGGAAGGAAGGAGGAAGGAAGGAAGGAAGGAAGGAAGGAAGGAAGGAAGGAAGGAAGGAAGGAAGGAAGAAGGAAGGAAGGAGAAAGAGAGAGAAGGAAGGAGAGAGAGAGAGAGAGAGAGAGAGAAAGCGAGAAGGAAGAAGGAAGGAAGGAAGGAAGGAAGGAAGGAAGGAAGGAAGGAAGGAAGGAAGGAAGAGAAAGAGGGAGGGAAGGTTGACCACAGCAATGCGTGGTGGGTACAGCTAGTGCCTCATAGTTAAGAACAGGGGTAAGTCAACAGGAAATGAGAGAAATCTTCCCCATGGAAGGGAAATCCGCTCCTGGAAGAGTTATTATCATGGGGGAAAGGGGTCTCCATTGAAACTTAATCCCCAATCCCTGTTTCTACAACAAGCCAAATTTTCCAAAATCCAATTATCATGGGACAGAAAGTGAGGGGAAATCTGTCAGAAATATTTATGATCAACTAGGTATTTTTAATTACAAAAAGTGATTCAAGCACTGAAAGGGTTAAAGGGATGCAATGACCCAGCAAAAGCTGTAGTTCAATATAAGCAGATGTGCAGGAAGCTTAGCAGCTCTCAGTCTGTTAGAGGTCTCTGTGGGAGAAGGGCCTCAGTGTGTTAGTTTGCCTCAGTGGGAGAAAGGTCTCAGTCTGAGAGAGCCCTCAGTATGAGAAGGCCTCAGTGTTAGTAGGCCTCAGTATGAGAAGCTTTGGTGAGAGAAGGACCAAGCTGAAGGCCACCGTGTACGAAGCTCCAGTGTAAAAAGTTGCTGTGTGTACTAACCCTTCCCGATGCCATCCAAAATTAAGGAATAAATATTTCTGGCTGGAGCAATACTTAAGAAATGTGCCTGTTCCAACTTACAAACAAATTCAACTTAAGAACAAACCTATAGAACCAATCTTGTTTTTAACTTGGAGACTGCCTGTATCTAACTTCCATACTTTGTGGGGGCTTTGCTTATTTTTTTTCCAGACCCATGTCATGTAATTGCCCAAAAGGGAAGCTCTCCGTTTGGCAAGCAATCCCTCCGACCCAAACCCTTGCGCCAAAGGGACTCACTGGGTATCTCTAAGCTGGGGTGAATGGCGGCCACGTTTTTGGCAGTGGGGGGCGAATGGCGGCCGTCCACCAGGTCAGACTCCGCGTCCTGCGCTTCTCCGTGGATGACGGCGATCCCCAGCCGCAGGCGCTCGGCAAAGGACTGGGCCCTGCGGGGAACAGGGGGCAGCACTGGGTTAAGAACACTCCTTTTGCAACACACGGAAAGGGAGGACAATCAGCAAAGAAGGAGAGGTTAAGGCAGGGATTCAATGTCTTTGAATCTTTGCCCATGGGTGGACCTGATGCCAGACCAAGTCAAGCCCAAAGCACAATAGGTTTCAACAGCAACAAATACAAGATGCTCCACTTAGGCAGAAAAATGAAATACAAGGATACAGAATGGCTCGACAGCAGTATGTGTGGAAAAGATCTTGGAGTCCCCGTAGACAAGTTAAAAACATGAGCCAACAATGTCATGCGGCAGCTTAAAAAGCCCATGGGATTTTGGCCTGTTTCAATAGGAATCTACTGTTAGATCCAGGGAAGTATGCTACCGCTCTGTTTTTCCTTGGTCAGACCACACTGTGTCCCATTCTGGGCACTTCAATTGAAGGGAGATGTTGACTCTATGCTGGAATGTGTCCAGAGGAGGGTAACTAAAATGATCAAGGACCTGGAGAACAAGCCCTATGAGGAGCAGCTTAAAGAGCTGGGCATGTTTAGCCTGCAGAAGAGAATAATAATAATAATACTTTATTTATACACTGCTACCATCTCCCCAAGGGACTCGGTGCGGCTTACATGAGGCCAAGCTCACAGTACATCAGTAAACAAAGGCAATAATAAAAACAATCAATACAAAACAATTAATATAAATAACATAAACAAAAAGTAAACAATAAACAATAACAGTAATACACAAGCATTTAAAAAACTATGACTGGGTCAAATGTAATAATTTAAAATTTAAAAAATAATGCTGGGCATGAACAAGGTAGGATATAACTGGGATAGAGTTTTTCAAAGAGAGATGAGGGAATATAGTTACTCCTAAACCTGTAGTAAAGTGCATTTTGAGGGCATATTGCTGAGAGGAGACATGATGAGGGCCAGGGATCAAGAGGTGAGAGGAAGTCCTAGGGTGGAGGGAGCAGGCTTGTTTTCTGCATACCTGGAGACTAGAACACAATGGAACAATGGCTTCAAACGAAAGGAAATGAGATTCCACCTGAACATAAGGAAGAACTTTCTCATTGTAAGAGAGAGCTGTTCAGCAGTGGAACTCTCTGTCCCAGAGTGGTGGAGGCTCCTTCTTTGGAGGCTTTTAAAAAGAAGCTGGATGGCCATCTGTCGGGGTGCTTTGAATGTGATTTTCCTCCTTTTTGGCAGAATGGGGCTGGACTGGATGGCCCACCAGGTCTTCCAACTCTATGATTCTATGAGTGGGTCTATGGACCTCTTCACACGGAGCATTTTTGCCCCGTTTTGCTGCTTTGTTTCCCTGCGGGCCCCACCCATATTCCTACAGGGAGGACAGTGTATTTTGGGTCACTCCAACAGAGATACGCACACTTTCCTCCCCCTTTCCCCGTACGATGGGGAGAAGGCGGTGGAGCAATGCTCATTGCCGCACATTGCTGCCCTTTTTCCCACCTGATGGGGACAGGGTGCACCCTCTTCTATCTCCACTGTATGATGGTAAAAGAGGGAAGGTGCGTGGGGAAATGGCACGGTTGTGTGAAGAGGTTATATGACTTCTCTCGATCTAGGGACGATACTCCTATTGATGCAACTTAGAATTACACTGGCCTTTTTAGCTGCCTCATAACACTGTTGGTTGTCTAATGTTCAGCTTGTGGTCCACTAAGATTCCTTTTGCATGAACTGTTTCCAAGCCAGATGTGGACAGAATTGGACCCAGGGTTATTCCAGGTGAGGCCTGATCAAAGCAGAACAGAGTGGGACAATGATTTCCCTTGATTTAGGAATTATATTCCTATTGATGCAGCCTAGAATCGCATTGGCCTTTTTTGCTGCTGCATCACACTGTTGGCTCACGTTCAGCTCATAAGGCTCCCAAATCAGTATTAAGCAAATACAGCGGGACTATGACTTCATTCGATCTGGACACTTAACCGCAATTGATGCTGCCTAGAATGGCATTGGCCTTCTTTGCTGCCGCACCACACTGTTGGCTCATGTTCAGCTTGTGGTCTGATAAGACACAGTATTTATCCCAGGTCAGATCTGATCAACGTAGAAGAGAGTGGGACTCTGACTTCTCTCAATCCAGACACTATTCTCTTTTTGAGGCAGCCCAGAATCCCAATAGCTTGCCACCACGAGGAAGCTGTCTACGTCAGACCAAGTGAAGGCCAAAAGCATAAGCAGTTTGTATACAAGTCAGTTCCTTTTCCTCACATATAAATTCAGCATTCTTCCTGTTTGCTAGTTGTGAGCCCATGTGTTTTGAAAAGATAAGAAACAGAGAAACTACTGTCTTAGATAAGCAGCTTTACCAACAGAAGTATGCTTCCAATTATGTGAGTGATTTTTTTACCCCTAGAACAGGAATGGGCACATCCAGCTCAGGGGCTGGATGTGGTCCCTTGGGCTCTTTTCTCATGTCCTCCTTTCTCTCACCATCTTTTTCTTTCTTCCTTCTCTTTCTTTCCTCCTTCCCTCCCTCTCTTCCTTACATCCTTCTTTCCCCTTCCTTCCCTTCCACCCTTTCATCCTTCCTTCCTTCCTTCCTTCCCTCTCCTTCCTTCCTTCCCTTTTGTCTTTCCGTCAGTCTCTTTCCTCCCTCCCCTCCCTCTTTCTCCCTCTCTCTATTCCCTTCCACCCTTTCATCCTTCCTTCCTTCTCTTTCCTTCCTCCTTCCTTCCATTCCTCCTTCCTTCCATCCCTTCCACCCTTTTGTCCCTTTCTTCCTTCCCTCTTTCCTCCCTCCTTCCCTCTCTCCCTTGCTTCTCCTTCTCCCTTTCCTTTTGTCTTCCCTTCCTTCCCTCTTCCCTCCTGCCCTCTCTCCCTTCCCTCCCTCTATTCCTTTCCACCCTTCCTTCCATCCATCCATCCTTTTCTTCCTTCCTTCTCTTTTTCCTTCCTCCTTTCCTCCTCAGGGATGTTTAGCTGGGAGAAGAGAAGGTACAGAGGGAACAGGAGAACTAAGTTTCAAGATTTAAAAGGGTGAGCCATTGAGGAGGAAGAAAACTGACTTTCTGCTGCTCTAGAGACCAGGGCACAAAGGAGCAATAGTTTCAAATGGCGGGGAAGGAGATTCGACTGAAAAGATTAGAAAGAACTTCCTGGAGAGTGGCCTAGGATGCCTCAGAGTGTGGTGGAGTCTCCTTCTCTGGAGGTTTTCCCACAGAGGCTACTGGGAGTGCTTTGATTGTGCCTTTCTTCATGGCAGGGGATTGGACTGGATGGCCCTTGGAGTTCTCTTCCAGCTCTAGGATTCTATATCAGGAGTAGGCAACCTGGGGTCTCATGGATGCACTTTTTCTCTCCAATCCACCATGTCATCCTGACCAAGGCTAACCTTTTTGGGATCTAAACATATCCCATCTTTCCTTCACTTTCTGCCTCTAAAAGAGAAAAGGAAGGGAAGGGAAGGGCAAGGAGGGGGGGTTGGGGAGCCTCTGATACATTATAGGGTGGTTGGTAGAATTCACTGATATAATTGGAAGCATGCTTCTGTTGATAAAGCTGCTCTTCTGAGACAATAGCTGCCCTGTTCCTTTTCTATTACTATTACTCCCCCAAAGCCAGTGTAATGTTGTTGTCTTCAGTGTTGGGATACGACTCTGGCGACTAAGGTTCAAACACAGCCAAGGAAACCCACTGGGTGACTTCAGGCAAGTCCCACACTCTCAGCTTCAAAGGAAGGCAAGAGCAAGCCAACTTGAAAGAAAGCTTGCCAAGCAAATGCAAAGATAGGGCCATCACAAATCCAAAGTCAGTTCAAAGGGAAGAGCAACAGCACGAACAAATGGATTTGGGGGCCTCTAATGACACAGACCCACCTCTTTGCCGACGCAGGAGATTTGGCCACAATCACAGCATTCCTGTAGTCTGGGATCTGCAGGGAGGCAAGACAACACCAAAGACGATGAAAGAGCAGCGCTTTGCGCACAAAACTGTCATGGCTGAAGGCTAGCATATAGTAGGGTGGCGTATTTACTCAGTTCTCCAACTTAATGTTATGGGCATGGGTAAAGGGACCTTACTGTACTTCTATACCCAAGCGAGGTCTGTGCCTTCCCATTCTTTCAAATAATTCCCGCAAAGCCCCTCCAACCTAAAGACCACAAAGTTTCAGTTTGAGAACTGGGCTGAGAATCATAGCACTCTAACACTAATGGATCACCAGCTGCCAGTTCCTGATACATGCCGTTCTCCTGATATATGCCATTCTCCTTCACCCACATCCAGACAACCACTTTCTACCCAAAATGGGGGGGGGGGGTGCCTTTAAAAAGCAGCAGGGCATCTCTCACTCCCCAAGTCCAGGAAGGCACATGCAAAGATGGTGCACCTGCAACCCTCAACTCACTAAATGTGGCCTTGCTCACCTCTTCTTGAATGTACTGGAGCAAAAATGGCGAGGCTCGCAGGTTGTCCACGGGGACGTTGAAGAACCCTTGGATCTCCTTTTGGTGCAGATCCATGGTGATCAAGTGAGTCAGACCTTTGGGAAGAGCAGGAGAAAAGGGGTCTGGAAACATTGCTTTGCCAACAAGGAAGGATAAATAAATAAAGGAGCGGGTAGGCAAAAAACTTGCTTTCCGCAAACTTGGTTGTCCACTCTTACTGATATGCTACCATTTACTATTCTGAGGCTCTGGGGGAACCTGATCTCCCATCATCCCCAGACTTTGGCAGTTTTCTATTTGGGTGATCACAACTCCTAGGATGCTAAGGGATTCGTCTGCTGCCCTGGAGACTTTGCACTTTAGGAAAGGAGACTCCACCTGAACACAAAAAAAAGAACTTCCTGACCTTAAGAAGAGCTGTTCAGCAGGGGGACTCACTGCCTCATTGTGGTGAATGGAACCTTTCAAGAAGAGGCTCGGTGGCAATCAGTTAAGAGTGCTTTGATTGTGCCCCTTTGCATGGCAGAATGTGATTGGGCTGGAAGACCCTTGGGGCTCTCTTCCAACTCCAGTAAAATATAGACTGCCTAGGATTTTTTTCTCTAAAGGCTTTTAAACAGAGGCTGGATGGACATCTGTAAGGAGTGCTTTGATTGTGTATTTTGTTGGGTTCCATCCCTGGACTGCACAAGTTTCATGTGTCATTAAGTTTCCAGACCTCAATGAGTAGCTAGGCTAGAGACTCTGGGCCAGAGTGAAGAGAGAGGGGGCCAGAAGACAGTTCCACTTTGTCTCCAGTGCTATGTTTACAATATAATATAACATAATGTACTATATTATATATACATATAATATTTATAATATTATAGTGTAATACAATATATTATTATTGGTAGTATTATAGTGTAATACAATATAATACTACCAATAATAATATATTATAATTATATATTTTATATTACATGTAGTATTACTAATAATATTACAATATAATGATATAGTACAATATAGTAATATATAATAAAGATATTATACTATGCTAATAATATAATGTATTGTATGTATATGTATCTTGCAAGCCGCTCTGAGTCCCCCTTCGGGGTGAGAAAGGCTGTATATAAATGTCGTAAATAAATAAATAAATAAATAATAGAGACAGGCCCAGCCTGAGGGATTCCTCCCCCCCCCCCCCCCCCCACACACACACATTCCTATGCATGTTTTCCCAGAAAGAACTTTGCCTTTACTCTTCCCGCCAGCCACTGTCTCCTCCCCCTTTGACGATATAGTAATGGAATCCTGTGAGGGAACATCCTCTTTAAGTTTTATTACCCTGGGTTGACCGTGCGGTCCCTCCACCATTTTTCAGTCTCTTCTGCTTTTTCCTTCCTTCCAGCAAGGACGCATTTTGCCTCTCTCTAGGCAAAATGTAGCTGCATGGATTTTTTATTAGTTAGAGCCAAGATCTTTTCCAACAAGAATGTATTTTTTTACTTCAATATATATTTTTGAACCTACAGTTCTGACTTTGCAATTCTGATCCATCCTAAGATATAGAAAGCTATCTTAGTTCGCTACACGTAAGTTTCTGCTGGTTATGAAGTTTACTTTTGGTACTCTGCTATATTTATGATGGAATCACGCCAACTGAGGGTTATTTTGAACCTAACAGCTCAGATTCCCCAACACATTTCCTGCCTGGTAGAAAAGGGTCAGACTGAATGGCCTTTGGGGTCCCTTCTGACCCTTTGATTCTATAGATCTATTTCTCCATGAACCTGCTAACGTGTATGAGGCTGGATGGCAATCTATTAAGAGAGCTCTGACTGTGCTCTTTCTGCCTGGCAGAAAGAGGTTGGATCGAATGGCCCCAATTAAGAGCCTTTGATTCTATAGTCCTATTTGTCCATGGACCTGCTGATGTCTATAAGTCTGGATGGCCATCTACCCAGTAGGGCTCTGATGGAGTTTTTCCTGCCTGGCAAAAGAGGGGTTGGACTGGATGGCCCTTGAGGTCCCTTCCAACACTAGGAGTCTTTGATCTTCCTGCTTCTGCCCACTGCTCTGTGTTCTCACCAGCCTTGCACATCATGGAAGCCAGGAGCTTGGAGACGATGGAGCCCCTCTTGCGCATCTTGCACTGCTTGCTGTAGGGGAAGTAGGGGACCACCCCGATGATGCTTTTGGCACAGGAGGTCTTGCAGGCGTACACCATGATCAGGAGTTCCATGATGGTCGTGTTCACATCCCTGCAATGAGAAGAGGGCTGGGTGGGTGGTGTTCATCCAGACTATTAAAAGGGTGGGCCTTCTGCTATGATGCTCCTGCCTATAAGACAGAAGAGGGTGGCTCAGGGCAAACAGGTTAGAATTTGGGGAATTTCCAGATTAGGAAATCAAAACAGAGGTTAAGAAAACCCAATCCGCAAACCCAACCAACAATTGGGCCACACAGCTTGCAGGAAACCTACACACATGGATAGAGACCTACATAAACACTCCAACAATCACCCAAATCAAAAAAGAAACACCATTAAAGCCCTGAAAGACCATGCAAAAGGAATCTGTGAAGCCCACCTCCTCCAAGGTGAACTGAATCACCTTAACTGGGCTTTACAGGCCAATGGAAACTCCACCACAGGCATCAGAAGAGCTGCAAGATCAAGAACAAGCCACGAGAGTCAAGACAAAGATCCACCCAGAGGGAAAGGGTTCTTACCAGACATCAAGGGAACCACTGGCTGCATAGAGAAGCTGATGAAAAAAACACAACATACAAACTATTTACAGACCCACTAAGAAAATGCAACAAATGCTACGTTCAGCAAAAGACAAGAGGGATCCTCTCACCTCTGCAGGGGTCTAGCATATACCATGCAGCTGTGGACAAGTCTACATAGGGACCACCAAACGCAGCACCCAAACATGAATCAAGGAACATGAAAGGCACTGCAGACTGATTCAACTAGAGAAGTCAGCCATAGCAGAGCACCTGGTGAACCAACCTGGACACAGCATATTATTGGAGAACACAGAAACACTGGACCACTCTAACAACCACCACTCACACTACACAGAGAAGCCACTGAAATCCACAAGAATGTGGATAATTTCAACAGATAGGAGGAAACCATGAAAATGAACAAAATGTGGCTACCAGTATTTTAAAAAAAACAAAACCTAAAATCAGGACAGTAAATGAAGAGGAACACTCAAAAACAGGGGAATTCCAGACAGGAATCAATCAGGGCCAGCTAATCATCTCCCAACAAAGGATTCCCCCAAGCAGGAAGCAGCCAAGCCTTGAAGCTGCTAGGCTATTCAACGCTGATCAAAGTAATCAAATGCAGCATTCACACTTGCCTCAAGTAGACAAGAGTTCTTTCCCCCACCCTGGACATTATTCCACAGGTATATAAACCCCACTTGCCTAGTTTCCAACAGACCTCACAACCTCTGAGGATGCTTGTCTTGGGTGTGGGTGAAATGTCAGGAGAGAATGCTGCTGAAACAGGGCCAGACAGCCCGGAAAACGTACAGCAACCCAGATGTGAAGAAATATTTCTATATACTCCCATTAACAGGAGTCTATCAAAAGCAAGGCCAAACTGAGAACACAAACATCTTCATAATATAGTCACAATCTAGACCAGGGGTGCTCAAACTAAGGCCCGGGGGCCAGATACGGCCCTCTAAGGTCATTTACTCGGCCCTCACTCAGGGTCAACCTAAGTCTGAAATGACTTGAAAGCACACAACAACCATCCTATATCATCAGCTAAAAGCAGGCCCACACTTCCCATTGAAACACTAATGTTTATATTTGTTAAAATTGTTTTTCATTTTAATTATTGTATTGTTTTGAAGTGAGTTTTTTTGCAATACAAATAAGATATGTGCAGTGTGCATAGGAATTTGTTCTTTTTTTTTTCCAAATTATTTTTTTTTCCAACCGTTTGATACGGATTCCCAAACAGGGGGTTGTACTCACTTTGAAACCGTCTGGATGATAAAGACGTCTTTCCCTCTCACAGACTCTTGGATCTGCACCCGCGTCTCTGCCAAAAGAAAAAAAAGGAAAAGTGAGTAAAAGGTGCAAACTCCAGATGAAAGGATGTGAGGCTCTAGAGCAGGGAGGTTGCCACCAGGAATGTTTCATTACCTTTTATGAGCCAAACAGACAAAACGCCCTAAAGATGCCCACGGCTCACCTCTGTTTGGCTCCTGGTAGACCTGGACTTTGCCCATCTCGACCCCCAGTCGCCTGAGGAGATAATAAGGCAAAGACAAGGTCACACAGGGGAAATGAGCAGGGAAATTCCGATGGAAAATGATATAGAGGCCACTGTATTAATGGGTCCGGGTGGGGAACATGCATCCAGTACAAATACACCTTTTAAAGGTAAAGGGACTGTAACTTAATCCACAGGGAATAGGTAAATACTCCACTATTTGAGGAGTGGGTGATGTTTTGGTCAGGATTGTTTGTCGACAGAAATTAAATGCAGACCAGACAAGACATATGTTGAACATTAGGGATGTTATAAATGTGAGAGTAACAACAACAATAAGGTATTTTGCATACCTAACAATGATAATAACAACAACAAGAATAAGGTTTATTGTATAATAATAATTAAATTATTATAATTATATTATTATTATAATCATTATTATAATTATAATAAAACTAACAATAAGATTTATTGTATACTCATTACTTATATTAATATATAATAATAATAATAATAATAATAATAATAATAATAATAATATCTTTATTCTTATATCCCACCACTATCTCCCCAAATAAAATCAATAAATAATAAAACTTTATTCATATTCCACCCTATCTCCCCAGAGGGACTCAGAGCGGATTTCAAACATAAAAGGCCAACATTCAATGCCCAAACACAACAACAATACATCCATAGTAATGAAATTTGGCAACCCAACATATGAAAATAAATTATGACTAAACAACTAAAATTAAATTAAAAATGCAGCCTGTTATATCAGATGAAAGGACTCATGGTGGCCTACTGATGGCACAAAGTGCCTAAAAACAAACATAAAAGTGAACACAATATAAAATACAATAAAATAAAACACATGCACATATAAAAACATCAATTCAGACTCAATCAAGCTGCAATCCTCTAACCGTGGCAGTATATATTGTATAAATAGTGAGGTATATTGAATACCTAATAATAATGGGATATATTCTATACCTAAAAAAAAAAGTTATATTGTAAAACCAATAATAATAATAACGCAAAGAGCCTGGCACAAGCCAGTAAAAGTAGTCTGAGTGGTGATTGGCACACTTGGTGCAGTGCCTAAAGACCTTGGCCTGCACTTAAAAACAACTGGCGCTGACAAAATTATCACCTGTCAGCTGTAAAAGGCCACCCTACTCGGACCAGCACACTTTATTTGACTATCTATCACATAGTCCTAGACAATTGTCTGACATGTGATCCAATATGACAGCCAGCATAGTGAGCTTGTTTGCTGTATACTAATCTATTTGTGTATCAAATAATAATAATAATAATAATATTTTATACACAATTACAATAATAATGTGTATTGTATATCCAATCATAATTAGAATAATAATAAGGTATACTGAATACCTAATAATAATAATAATAATAATAATAATAATAATAATAATAATAGCTTCAGCTTTTTACAACAGCAACTATTATACTGACTCTGAACCTCAGAAGCGATTTAATCTTGGCACAACATTGCTGGAACCTTTCTAAATAACCTTTCTTAATTTTGCCAGAGGTTTTATTCCCAAACTCATTAGGAGTGAAATATTGCCAGCAAAGATTGCTTTAATGAAGGGATGGCTGCGCTTCTGTGAGAACTCACTCTGCGATCCTCTTGGAGAGTTCCATGCACGACGGGTTGGAATTGGCCGAAAACAGGACCAGCCCGCCTTTCGTCACGTTCATGTTGGATCCAGTTCCAACGGGCGCCACACAAAACATCAAATCCTCCGTTGTTTTCCCGCTTTTAGAATACTGCAAGGAGATCAGAACACGTCAGTCCTCTTAGCAGCAGCTATAAACCACGACATTGGTTTTCATGTTGAGACAAAGGGCAGGGCTGTTGCTTTGTTGCACAGCAGCGAGGATGAGGTGCCTTATAAACCCAGAGTTGGTGAACCACGGCAGATCTTCCTATGCACCAGGCTGGCAAAAGACTTCGGGTTCTGCTAGAAGCGTCCCACCGGTTTCTACTCTGAATGCAAAACTATTTCAGAAGTACTTACAAATATAGGAAGGTAGGGTGGAAAGAGCTCCGTCAAACTGGCGCCCGGTTCTAGTGCCGTCACGTACTTTGCTTTTGGCTAGCAAACAAACCTCCTAGCATTCTTAGGTACCTATGGGAAAAGAGCATGGAAACACAAAGCCATTAAGAGGCAATGCAAAGAAAGCTTCATGCCGAGATACATCAATCCCATGTTGCAGGAATGAAGTGGGTGCTTTTAAAACGGGCATTTTTGTCACAGAAAGCAAAGCTGTGCAACGAGACTTCCATTATCAGTATCGATCAACACAACCTGTTTGACCCAAACAAGAGAAAGTCCCACATCTTTGCCTAGAAAATTCCTCCAGTCCTTTAAAAGGTGTATCACTCCAATTCCAATGCCAGGACGGATATAATAATAATAGCACTTTATTTATATTCTGCCCCATCTCCCCAAGGGGACTCAGGGTGGATCACAGTACACATACACAGCAAACATTCAATGCCATTTTGGATAGGCAGGACATAGACAGACAGAACAGAAAAGAGGTATGTTGTGTCAACATCCAGCTTTTTTAGCGCCTTGGAGGTTGTGCTCAAATCCAACCACATGGGGGTGCTGTTGCTCCATCCTCTATGACAAGAGCCATAAGAACTTCCTCCTTCTTTTTGGTTGCCAGGGATTTTCTGATCTTTTCCTTTATGATGTTGTAAAATCCCTGTCCGAACGGATTCTCCCCTATGAACCATCAAGGCTATTAAGATCTTCCGGGGGGGGGGGGGCTGCTCTCGGTCCCACCACCCTCACAATCACGGTTGGTGGGGACGAGAGACAGGGCCTTCTCGGTGGTGGCTCCCCGGCTTTGGAACTCCCTCCCACTAGAGGTCAGATCTGCCCCCTCCCTCCTGACGTTCAGGAAATTACTAAAAACCTGGCTCTGGAAGGTGGCATTCAAGGACTGAACCTAGAACCTTTCCCTGTGATGAATTATGATGAACTGTGACTACGAGCATGACTATGACTATGACTGGAATTACGATTTGGCTTAGGAAACTGTAATGATGATGTTTTTACTGTACTATATTGTACTATTTTAATATGTAATGATTTGCACTTGTTGTTCTTTTATATGATTGTACTTTATATATGCTGTAAACCGACCTGAGTCCCTCGTCGAGGTTGAGAAGGCCGGTATAGAAAACCTCTAAATAAATAAATAAATAAATAAATAATACCTTACTTCTCTACTTACAGTCCAAGCTGTTTTTGAAATGCTTAGGTAAACACCTGACTGGGCTGACAGCCGGGTGCTCACGCCAACCAGGCTTCAAACTGGCAACCTTTCCGTTGGTAGATCTTATCATTGCTAGTGATTTACCAGCTGTGATAAAGCTTGGCCGGTTACAATAGGTCTTCCATTTTTGCAGGGGTTAGAGATACAGGAGCCCTGAGAAAGTGGGGCAACAATACTATATTTATATTAATCTAATGCACCATTGACTGTTATCCGCACTCAAATTTTCAAAACCTTGAAACCCCCCAAAAAGGGTTTTCTGGAAAATGTAATGAGCAGAGGCAAAAACTTTTACGACAATTTAGTTTTTATTACGAATTCAATTTTACTTTTTAAAAACTGCCACTATTTTTTGGTAATCTTATTTGTTTTTATACACCAATGAAGAATGGAAAAAAAGCACCAAGCCACACAACTCGTAGATTCATTCTGCAGCATAGAAGCACCCCATGGTTTTCCTTTCCCTTGCTTTGGTGTCCTAACACTTTTGTTTTTAAAGCAGGAATTCCAAGCAGGCAGCAACTGTAATGGCTAAATTACAAATAGTGTGCTTTTGGCAGCAAATCCCTTTTTTTTGTTTGGGTTTTTTTGTTTTGTTTTGGGGTTTTGAAAATTGAGATGCGCATTAGATTTGAGGGTGCATGAGACCAGAATCAATATGGGAAGCAAACCGTGTCAGTGACTCATATGCTTTCTAAATTTTTTGTGTCATCTTTAGAGAGAAAAAAGAACGCAGTCAATGTTGTAGAAGATACTGGAAAACAACATTTCTCTCCAAAGCAGCATCTATTACAAGATTAGCCTAATAATGTCCTTCTCAAATCCATCTCCCAGCTCTGCAAAGAAACCCTTTCCTGTTTATTTGGTGGCATTTCACAGCAAAGAGGCGGATGGAAAATCTAATTCAGGGTAAATCCAGTGCCTCTCATCCATCAGAGACTTCTCTGTTCAAAAGAAGTTGTTTTTGGAGGGAAGACACATGACCAGATTTGTCCAGAGACACAGAATGGGCTGCATTCTCTGAAAAAAGGAACAAACTCAAAGGAAGAATAAATGCAGAAAGACGTCAGCCACTCCCTTGCTAATAACGCTTTCGTGATTATGAGGATTGATAGACTGCAATTGAGGCAGGCATTAAAGGATTATGCAAAACGGAAGCAAGAGGGATGGAAATATTAACAGACATAAAGGGCGATGCTAATGGCCAAAGCCAGACTGAGGCAGAAGATGGATACAGCAAAGCCAGGCTCAGTCAATGGCCTGGTTAGTAGACAGAAATCAAGTACGCCATTTGGTCTCCCATCGAAGGACTAACCACAGCTGACTCTACTTAAATTCCTAAATGAGATGGGATCTAGTGCCCTTAGATATTTTAACTAGAGCTCTATACCACCAAGAGGCACAATCCAGAACATTTTGCCTGGCTGTCAGAACTTTGGAGTTTGCATCTCTTTAGAAATAAAAGCTTCTTACATTTCTTATAATAATAAAAAGAAAGTATAGATTTGGAATGATAACTTTTTCTTACAGAGAAGGAAGAATGATTGGAAAAAGTTGAAGGCATAATTTGCTCGTATGCAAAAAACATCCAGAGATAGCACTGTGGTGTGGTTTCAGCCTTGGACTCTTAATTTGCACTAGATCTTATTTATCATTAGCCACCTAGGGTCCTATTTATTTATTTATTTTAAACTTTTATATCCCGATCTTCTCAACCTCCACGGAGGGAGTCAGACCGGCTAACAGCAAGGATTCAATGCCACAATACGGTCTAAAACAACACACAACGACAATAGATTAAAATACATACAAAATAAAATACATATAAGCCAGTTCGCCAAAATAAAATCATGTCCAACTCAGTCCGCATATGTCAATAACTTTAGTCTGTTGCTGGTCTCAGCCATTATTCTGGGAATGCTTCATTCCATAGCCAGGATTTCACTAGCTTCCTGAAGGTCAGGAGGGAGGGGGCAGATCTAATCTCATTTGGGAAAGAGTTCCATAGCCAAGGGGCCACCACGGAAAAGGCCCTGTCTCTCGTCCCCACCAGCCGCGATAGCAAAAGTGGTGGGACAGAGAACAGGGCCCCTCCAGAAGATCTTAACAGCCTTGATGGTTCATAGGGGAGAATATATTCGGACAGGTAAACTGGGGTATATAGGGTTAACACTTTCATGGATTTAGAATTCCCATAAGTTTGGAAATGGGTAAACAATAACAAACTAGGCTGCAGTGAAGATAACACTGTGTGACAAAATCTGGAAAAAAAATCTGTTTGTGGTTTGAAAGTGTTACTTCCTGTTTAATCGTGCAGTCCTTACTTTGAAAGTTCTTCTACTTGAGAAATTTGATTTTGTGGGTTCCGCAAAACAGGTTGAATTGGGGGGGGGGGGGTTGTTTGTTTTTTTGGTCGTGTCAGGAGCGACTTGAGAAACTGCAAGTTGCTTCTGGTGTGAGAGAATTGCCCATCTGCAAGGACGTTGTCCAGGGGGTGCCCGGATGATTTGTTGTTTTTATCATCCTTGTGGGAGGCTTCTCTCATGTCCCCGCATGAGGAGCTGGAGCTGATAGAAGGAGCTCATCCGCCTCTCCCCAGATTCGAACCTGAGACTGTCGGTCTTTAGTCCTGCCAACACAGGGGTTTAACCCACTACGCCACTGGGGGCAAACCAGGCTGAATTGGTTGAGACTCAATGAGATATTCATAGAAAAACTATAACAAACTGTGCTGCAGGATGTTTCTCTAAAAGCAAAGTTTTTGCAGTGTAATAAACTTTTCCCGTGTTTTTGTAATGGAACCAGTTACAAAATGACATTTATAACCCAGGAACAAATATTTTGTTACTTAGTATTGTTATTGTTGTTATTATTATATGTTCCTTTTTTGAGAGAAGGAAATGAAAGAAAGGCACAGAGGAAGAAATTAATCGCATGGAGCGAGCTTGAGTATATTGACGCAAAAGTCCACTAAACGGCATCAGGGCTGTTTCCCAGTAAACAGGACCAACAATGCAATTCTATGGAGTCCTTGGGCCTTTTATGGCCCGACATTAGTCCTGGTTCAAAGGTAAGGAGATAAAATGAGGCTGGTAAAGCACAAAGGGGGCATGTGAAACAGTCTGACATCCTCCTAAGCAAACTGCAAGAAGGAAATCAGACAAGGCACACAAAGCCTTTCCTTATCTGTTGCCAGGACAGAGCGAACATATAATTACATTTCTAAAACGCTACTTCTTTGGGAACTGTATGAAAGCCAAGCATTAATTGGCCTGAAAGGAGAGAAAGTCAGGGAAATGAAGGCAGATGGAAATGATCACCCAACTCGACTTGCAAGATAGATCCCATCATCCCCCCTCTTTCTGATTGAAAGATCGTCATTTCTCCAAATAGAGGACAGAGACCATCGCTCCCTTTTGCTCTGCTGTGGGAGACAATCATCCCCTCCTAATCACCTCCTTCTGAGAAAAATGTAAAATATCACAAAGGATCACCACCTTACCCACTATAAAACAGGAGCTTTATTATTGAACTCCAGGGTCAGAGAAGCAGATGGCGGAAACAGAACAGTCTACCTCAGGTGCCTGCTTCATCAATGTTTAACATTTAGACAAATGACCAGCCACTGCCAGAAGGGACAGAGAGTTTCATCTATGCTGACGATCATACCATCACCGCTCAAGCAGGGAGCTTTGAAATGATTGAAAAGAAGTTCTCCGAAGCTTTAGGTGCTTATTGCCTATTACAGGGAAAACAATCTGATTCCTAATTCAGCGAAAACACAAATGTATACTTTTCACCTTGAGAACAAAAAAAAAAAAAATCTCAAGCTCTGAGGATTACCTGGGAAGGAATCTCACAAGCATTGGAGCACACCAAAATACCTGGGAGTCACTCTGGACCTTGATTTGACTTATAAGAAGCACAGCTTGACTATCAAGCAAAAAATGGGTGCTAGAAATAATATAATACAAAAGCTGACTGGCACATCCTGGGAATCACAACCAGACACAGTGAAGACATCTGCCCTTGCGCTTTGCTACTCTGCTGCTGTATATGCATGCCTGGTGTGGAACACACGCAGCATGTCTTAATGAGACATGCTGCATTATCACAAGGTGTTTATGTCCCAGACCACTGGAGAAATTATACTGTTTAGCTGGTATTGCACCACCTGACATCCATCGGGAAGTAGCAGCCAAGAATGAAAGCACCAAGGCATTGACATCTCCAGACCATCCTACATTCAGATATCAACCAGCATGCCAACACCTTAAATCAAGACACATTTTCTTAAGATCAACAGAGATATTCGCAGGAACACCTCAGCAAGCGAGAGTCCAAAAGTGGCAGGCTAAAACCCAGAACCTCAATCAGTGGCTGAGGTCGGATGAGAAACTCCGTTCTGGGCACACCGAAGGCTGGGTACTAAAGAAGGCACTAAACAGCCTGTACTGTGGCACCAAGAGATGCAGAGCCAACCTTAAGAAATGGGGCCACAAAGTGGAGTTCACCACATGCGAGTGGGGAGAAGAGCAAACCACAGACCACCTACTACAATGTGGCCTGAACCCTGCCACCTGCACCTTCTCACAGCGACACCAGAGGCACTCCCAAGTGGCCAGCTTCTTGTCAAAGAAAATGTAGTGTAACACCAAGTTTTAAAACTTTGGTTTTTTTTTAAATACACGTGAACTATATCCTCCACTTGCTTCTGACATTATAAATACCTGTAAGAGAGAGCCCATCACCCCCTCGTCTTACAGGTGGAGGGAGAGCCGTGCGGGCCAATGAAATTCAATCAACTAATCATCAATCAAACTTTATTATGGTCCAAAGACTCAGCGGTAAAAGGTGCTCAACTGCCAACACATTCATAAACTGAGAATCACCATTCTAGGCTGGGTCCATAGGAGTCTAGTATCCTACCAGCTGTTGGGAAATTGTGAGAGTTGAAATCCAAAACGTCTGCAGGGCCAAAGTTTGCCCATGTCTGCTGTAGACCATCGTCCCCCTTCATCAACTACTGAACAGAAACCATCATCCTGTTCAATCCACCTGTAGGACAGATAGAGCCCATCATCCTTTCCTCCAGCTGCAAGACCTTCTTCCCTACTGCCTCCACCTGCAGCACACAAACCATCATCCCCTTGGTTCCACTTGTAAGGCAGAGCCCATCATCCTTGTTCCACCACCTGTAGGGAAGAAATCTTCATCCTCTCCCCTGCTTTGAACTTCAGGAGAGAACACTATTCCCATTTCTAGACTTACTTAGGCGATCCCTTGTCTGACTAGGATTGTCTTCTAAGATCGGTGTACTGGCGGTGGGTTCCGTAGGTGACTGTGGAGCCCTATTCTTGATCCGCATGTTCTCCCGCAGTGAGGGCATTGATTTTCAGGTGGAAGGCGGTCCCGGTTGGCTTGACGTGCCTTCCTCTTGGCACGTTTCTTTCGCCCTCCATTCATTCCTCTTCAAATTCTGCAGCACTGCTGGTCACAGCTTACCTCAATCTGGAGCATTCAAGGGCCAGGGCATCCCAGTTCTCAGTGTCTATGCCAGAGTTTTTAAGGCTGGCTTTGAGCCCATCTTTAAATCTCTTTTCCTGCCCAACAACATTTTGTTTTCCGTTCTTGAGTTTGGAGTAGAGCAACTGTTTTGGGAGACGGTGGTCGGGCTTCCGGACAACGTGGCCGGTCCAGCGGAGCTGATGGCGGAGGACCATCGCTTCAGTGTTGGTGGTCTTTGCTTCTTCCAGCACGCTGACATTTGTCCTCTTGTCTTCCCAAGAGATTTTCAGGATTTTTCAGAGGCAATGCTGATGATATCGTTCTAGGAGTTGCATGTGACATGTGTATATAGCCCACATCTTGCAGGCGTATAGCAGGGTTGGGAGGACAATGGCTTTATAAACAAGCACCTTGGTATCCTTATGGATGTCCCGATCCTCAAACACTCTGTGCTTCATTCGTAAAAATGCTGCACTCGCAGAGCTCAGGCGATGTTGTATTTCAGTGTCAATGTTGACTTTTGTGGAGAGGTGGGTGCCAAGGGAGCGGAAATGGTCAACATTTTCTAATGTTACACCATTAAGCTGTATTTCCGGCACTGGAGAGGGATTGGCTTATTTTCTATCTTCATCGCTATGGGTTAAACCAGTGGTTCTCAACCTGTGGGTCCCCAGGTGTTTTTGGCCTACAACTCTCAGAAATGCCAGCCAGTTTACCAGCTATTAGGATTTCTGAGAGTTGAGGGCCCAGAATATCTGGGGACCCCAGGTTGAGAACCAATGGGTTCAACCCTTGTGCCGGCAGGATTGAAAACTGACAGGTCAGAGGTTGGAATCCGAGGAGAGCGCGGATGAGATACCTCTGTCTGCTCTAGCTCCTCATGCGGGGACATGAGAGAAGCCTCCCACAAGGATGGTAACACATAAAAAAACACATCTGGGCATCCCCTGGACAATATCCTAGCAGACGACCAATTCTGTCACACCAGAAGTGACTTGCAGTTTCTCAAGTCGCTCCTGACACGAATATATATATATCGCTATGATATTTATTTATTTGTTGTGTCAGATTAACCAGTCAATTATATTACATTTCTAACAGAACAAAGCAAACAAACAGACAAAATACAACATTTGTGAGTTTGGTAGTTGGTTAAATGTCCTTTGACCAGTATCTGGCCACTTGGAGTGCTTCTGGTGTTGCTGCAAGAAGGTCCTCCATTGTGCATGTGGCAGGGCTCAGGTTGCATTGCAGCAGGTGGTCAGTGGTTTGCTCTTCTCCACACTCGCATGTCACTTTGTAGCCCCATTTCTGAAGGTTGGCTCTGCATCTCCTGGTGCCAGAGCGCAGTCTGTTCAGCGCCTTCCAAGTTGCCCAGTCCTCTGTGTGCCCAGGGGGAGTCTCTCATTTGGTATCAGCCATTGGTTGAGGTTCTGGGTTTGAGCCTGCCACTTCTGGACTCTCGCTTGCTGAGGTGTTCCAGCGAGTGTCTCTGTAGATCTTAGAAAACTATTTCTAGATTTAAGTCGTTGACGTGCTGGCTGATACCCAAACAGATAGAAGAACGGCCTGCCTCAGGGGAGCGTGCTAGCTCCATCCATGTTCAACATCTACACAAACGACCAGCCACTGCCAGAAGGGACAGAGAGTTTCATCTATGCTGATGATCGTGCCATTACCACTCAAGCAGGGAGCTTTGAGGTGGTAGAACAGAAGCTTTCCAAAGCTCTAGGTCAGGCATGGGCAAACTTGGGCCCTCCACGTGTTTTGGACTTCAACTCCCACAATTCCTAACAGTCTACCGGCTGTTAGGAATTGTGGGAGTTGAAGTCCAAAACACCTGGACGAAGCTTTCCGAAGCTCTAGGTGCTCTTACTGTCTATTACAGGGAAAACCAGCTGATCCCCAACCCATCTAAAACACAGATATGTGCCTTTCATCTCAAGAACAGAGAAGCATCCCGAGCTCTGAAGATCACCTGGGAAGGAATCCCACTGGAGCATTGCAGGCACCCAAATACCTGGGAGTCACTCTGGACCGTGCTCTGACCTACAAGAAGCACTGCCTGACAATCAAGCAAAAGTGGGTGCGAGAAACAACATCATACGAAAGCTGACTGGCACAACCTGAGGATCGCTATGATACTTCATCTTGTTGATGGGAAGTTTCCCACTGGAGTGGAAATCATTTGCTATTTAACCTCAGCAGACTGAAAGCCAAAACCAAGGTGACAACAACATCTGTTATAGAACTCCAATATGCTGATGACAACGTCGTCTATGCGCATTTAGAAGAAGACCTACAAGCCACTCTAAACACCTTCGCAGAAACATACAAGAAGCTCGGCCTGCCATTGAACATAGAGAAAACCAAAGTCACCCTTCCTAGAACAAAGCCCATAATCCCCATGATTCCAAGTGCAGGGTAGGGCCCATCATCCCCTTCCACTTGTAGGATAGAGCCCATCATGTTTACCTCCAACGAGGGGACACAAACCATCATCCCCTTCCTTGTGGGAGTAGGACAAGGCCCATCATCCTTTCCCATAGAGAATAGACACAAAGCACCATCCCCTTCCTTCAGGGAGTACGACAGGACCCATCATCCCTGTCATACCAACACCTGCAAGAGAAAGACCACCCTCCCCGACCCCAGAGAGAGGGAGCCGCGTGGGCCAAGCCGTTACCTGAGGCCTTTCCAGCCGAGGGACCCGGAGAGGAGGGCCGTTGGCTTCGGGGCGGGGCGGGGCCTTCTGGTCGGTCCCTGCTGCGCGCGCAGCCCGGCAAGATGGCGGCGCCCATGCCCATGCCGCCCCTAGTGGGCGCGCCGAGGACTGCATCCCCTCCGCTTGATCCTCTGCTCTCCTCTCCTTAAAGCCACAGAGGCGCCTTTTGGAAGACGGACACTCCGCGGCTCCCTTGGCTGCCCCCAGTGGCTGCATCGAAAACTGCACACACACACACCCCAAGGGAAAAAGGAAGGAAGGAAGGAAGGAAGGAAGGAAGGAAGGAAGGAAGGAAGGAGAAGGAAGGGAAGGAAGGAAGGAAGGAAGGAGAGGAAGGAAGGAAGGAAGGAAGAAGGAAGGAAGGAAGGAAGGAAGGAAGGAGGAAGGGAGAGAAGAGGGAAGGAAGGGAGGCAGGAAGGAAGGAAGGAAGGAAGGAAGGAAGGAAGGAAGGAAGAAAGGAAGAAGGAAGGAAGGGAAGGAAGGAGGAAGAGGAAGGAAGGAAGGAAGGAAGAAGGAAGGAAGGGAAAGAGAAGAGAGGGAAGAGGAAGGGAAGGAAGGAAGGAAAGGAAGAAGAAGGAAGGAAGGAAGGAAGGAAGGAAGGAGGAAGGGAAGGAGGAAGGAAAGGAAGGAAAGGAAGGAAAGGGAAGGAAGAAGGAGGGAAGGAAGGGGAAGGAAGGAAGAAGGGGAAGGAAGGAAGGAAGGAAGAAGAAAAGAAAAAAGAAGGAACAAAAAGGAGAAAGAAGGAAGGAAAAGGAAAAGAAAAGAAGGAAGGAAGGGAAGGAAGGAAGAAGAAAGAACCCAAAAAGAAGGATCAATAAAGGAAAGGAAGGAGGAAGGGAAAGGAAGAAAAGGGAAGGAAGGAAGAAGGCACCAAAAAGAATGAATAATGAAGTTAATAGGAGGGAAGGAGGGAAGGAAGGAAGGATAATAAAGGAGAATGGAAGGAAGGAAGAAGAAAAGAACCAAAAAGAAGGAACAATAAAGGAAATGAAATGAAGGAAGGAAGAAGAAAAGAACCAAAAAGAAGGAACAATAAAGTTAATAGGAAGGAAGGAAGGACAATAAAGGAGACAGAATGGAAGGAAGGAAGAAGGAAAAAACAAAAAAAGGACAATAAAGGAGACTGGATGGATGGATGGGAGGAAAGAAGGAAGGAAGGAAGGAAGGTAGGAAGGAAGGAAGGAAGGAAGGAAGGAAGGAAGGAAGGAAGGAAGATGAAAGAACCCAAAAAGAAGGATCACTAAAGGAAATGGAAGTAAGGAAGGGAAATAAAGGAGACACAGTGGAAGGAAGGAAAAAGGAAAGCACCAAAAAAGAAGGAACAACAAAGTTAATAGGAAAGATGGAAGGAATAAAAATGAGTCAAAAAGGAAGGAAGGAAGGAAGGAAGGAAGGAAGGAAGGAAGGAAGGAAGGAAGGAAGGAAGGAAGGAAGGAGGGAAGGACAGACAGACAATAAAGGAGACAAAAGGAAGGAAGAAGAAAGAACCCAAAAAGAAGGATCAATAAAGGAAACAGAATGGAAGGAGGAAGGGAGGAAGGAAGGAAGGAAGGAAGGAAGGAAGGAAGGAAGGAAGGAAGGGGGAGTGTGCGTTTGTATAAAGAATAGTTTTAGGTTCCGCCGAATAAGTGTGTCAGCGCCGATTGTGTTTAAGTGTAGGCCAAGATCTTTAGGCACTGCACCCAGTGTGCTGATCACCACTGGGACCACCTTTACTGCTTTTTCCAGAGTTTTTGCAGTTTGATCTTTAGATACTCATATTGTGTAAACTTTTTCAGTTGCTTCTTGTCAATTCTACTGTCTCCTGGGATTGCAACATCAGCGACCCATACTTTGTTTTTTAACATGATTGTAAGGTCAAGAGTCTCCTGCTCCAAAACTCTGTCCGTCTGAATTCGGAAGTCCCAGAGTAGTTTGACATGTTCATTTTCTGTAACTCTTTCAGGCTTGTGATCCCACCAGTTTTTTGTCACAGGGAGATGGTATTTGTGGCACAAGTTCCAATGAATCATTTGAGCAGTGGTGTTATGCCTCTGCTTGGAGTCTGTCTGCGCGATCTTCTTGCAGCAGCTGAGGATGTGATCTATTGTTTCATCTGCTTCCTTTCAGAGTCTCCACTTGGAATTTGTTGTCGACTTTTCATTTCTGGCTTTGATGGCATTGGTTGTAATGGCTTGTTCTTGGGCTGCACGAATCAGGCCCTCCTTTGTCTCTTTTTTCAAAGTCCCATTTGTGAGCCACAGCCACGTTTTTTCTTTGTCAATTTGGCTCTCAGTTTTTCCTAGGAACTGTGCATGGAGAGCCTTCTTTTGTCAGTTTTCTCTTCTGCTCTGCACTATATTTTTGTGGCATTCACGCTTTGTCTTTTGCACTTGAAGCAGTTCTCTACTATTGACTTCCCTCAATGTTGATTCATGCAAGAAGAAAACACGTGGGACAAAATAATGAAAACTGAGAAAAAAATGATATCACGGACATACAAAAGGCTATTAGAATGGAGCACGGAGAAAGAAAGAATAAAGGAATGCATGGTAAAATGGGCAAGTAATATAGGGAGACCAATAAGACTAGTGGAATGGGAGGTTATATGGAGGAAGAAAATAAAATATACAAAGGCTTATGACCTAAAGGAGAACTGGATCAAAATGTTCTATAGGTGGCACTTGACCCCCAAAAAATTAGGAAAATTTTATAGGAATTTGAATACGAAATGCTGGAAATGCGGGGAGATAGAGGGCACCTTCTATCATATGTGGTGGCACTGTAAAAAGGCCAAAACATATTGGAAAGGAATACAAGAAAAACTACAAAACATATTGAAGATTAAAATACCACTGCACCCGGAAATATTTCTGTTGGGAATTACAGACGAGAAAATAGATCATAATATAGACAAACTCCTATTCCTCGCTACAACGGCGGCAAGAATATGTTATGCCAGAAACTGGAGGAAAGAAGAGACACCCAAGGTAGAGGACTGGGAAAGGAAACTTTTGGAAGTGAAAAATATGGATAGATTAAGCTACTTAATTCAGAAATACAAAGGACTAACAGAGAACGAAACGGATTGGACACTGATAGATGAATATTTTAAATAGAAACAAACTAGAGATTAGAATCTGAGCAGGGAAAAAATGGAAAATTCATTAATCAAGGAACAAATAAAAGAAGAAAGAACGAAAAGTAGGAGAAAGAAAGAAAAGGAAAACCTCACCAAAGACATTGGGAAGCCAGACCGAAGGAAGACTGAACTCTTTGTTCTTTGTTTTCGATCGTTTTTAAAGGATAGCACTCTCACACATCTTTCCTTTTCTTTTCCTGCTCACACACTTCTCTCCCCACCCAGCATCCATGTCCCCTTTCCCTAGTCTATTCCCACCCTCTTTTCTTATATTCTTTTTCTTTGACTCATTACTTTCGGACTCGTCTCTTTCTTTTTATTGACTTTTAAAGTATATGTATTAATTGAAAAACCAATAAAGACTATTTTAAAAAAAATGTTGGTTCTTGACTGCCTTTCCCATCATCTGCCAGTGCGTGTTTCTCTTCTTCTTCCATTTGTTTCACTTGCAGAAGCCCTCTCTCTGCCTCCTGATTTTCTGGGCAGGTCAAGTCTGTCGACATCACTACGTGGGTGTCATGAGTAGTGGATTGTCATTGGTTTTCACAATCCCAGCAGTGTATCTAATGATGGGGATGGCCCAGGTGTTGATAGCCTTGATTGTATTTCCATCATTTAATTTGCTCTTCAGAATTTTTCTGACGCTTTGGATTTATTCTTTGCTGACCACATTTTTCACTTGCTCATGCTTGATATTGTCCACCTATAGTATGCCCAGATATTTGTAGGCTTCAGGCTAATTGCATTTTATGGTTTGTCCATCATCATCATCATCATCATCAATCCCTGCAAAAGGTTGCCTTTGTGTGTGTTTTAATGCTATGAAGCTGTGAGTTATATCAACTTTTGGCCAAAAATAAAATGTTTGTGACTTCTTCAGCAATTGTGTAGACTGTACATGTGCCATTCAGATTTTGGATTACAACTCCCAGCATCCCTCATTATGGTCTATATGCCAATCAGGGATGATGGGAGTTGCAACCCAGCAGCTTATCGAGCAGACAATGCAATCCCCATTGGACAGTCATTGCTACATCTTGGACGAAATAGAGTTGGGTGTTATCGTTGTACCTATACAAGCCCTTGCTATTTATCTTTCTTGTGCAGTCTTCTTCTTTTCCCTGCTTTTGTTTCCAGTCCATTCATGAAAGCTCTCTTTCTGGAACTGTTCCCCATTCCAATTCCCATCTTTCGGATCGTGGCAAGTTTCCTCATCAGCAGATTTGTAACTTATTTCCCAATTCCTGCAAACATTTATATGGGACCAATGGTCAGCGTTTCCTCTCACCCTCCCTCCGCCTTATTCCACCCCACTTTGCAAAGTTATAGTTAATGTTTAAAGGACCTTGGAAGCCGAGCCAGAAAGTTATGCAAAGTTTTACTTGTGGGTCACATTTAACCCTTGATTCCACAACCGTAACGCAGAACAAAATCAATGTCAATTAATCCTATATGCAAATATTAGGACGAAAGCATGGGGCAAAGGGTCCAAGAGTCTTAGCTGAACACTGAGCTGAAAAAGTGACACTGCAGCCCAAAAGGCTAATGTATTTCAACAGGGAAAAATGTACAGTGTAGCTTATATATAGGCAATAACATTGAAATGCTCAGATATAGGATGGGGAAAACTTGGCTTGGAAACAGTCCATAGAAAAGGGATCTAGGAGTCTTTGGAGACCCACAATAGTGTGAGCCAAGAGTGTGATGCAACAGCAAAAACGGCCTATGCAATTCTAGGCTGCATCAATAGATCGAGGGAAATGTTCTAGGTCGGATATGGATGAATAATGCCTGGTTTGGAAACAATCCGTGAGAAAAGGATCTAGGACAGTGATTCTCAACCTGGGGTCCCCAGATGTTTTTGGCCTACAACTCCCAGAAATCCCAATTTACCAGCAGTTAGGATTTCTGGGAGTTGAAGGCCAAAAACATCTGGGGACCCCAGGTTGAGAACCACCGATCACAAGTTGAACATGAGGCAAGAGTGTGACGTGGCAGCTAAAAAGGTCAATGTGATTCTAAGTCACATAGAATCATAGAATCATAGAGTAGGAAGAGACCACATGGGCCATGTAGTTCAACCCCCTGCCATGCAGGAAAACCATCATCAAAGCACCCCTGACAGATGGTCATCCATCCTCTGTTTAAAAGCTTCCAAGGAAGGAGCTTCCACCAGACTCCGAGGCAGAGAGTTCCACTCCTGAACAGCTTGTACAGTCAGTAAGTTCTTCCTAATGTTCCTTGTGCCGTCACACCCAGACGCCTTAAAAATAAAACTGCGATGTGCTGCTCTCTTTGTCTGAGCGGACCGCTGGGATCTTTCTTGAGAAGCTCAGATTTTCTGAGTAACTGAGTCCACTTCAGGTATGGAACCCTAAACAAAGTATTTATTTCCAAAGTCCCTGCAGACTTGGCACGGCTTATCAAAGTTACAAACAGTCAATTGGTAAAGCATAGAGATGAGTTTTCCCTTCCTCCAAAAAGTAAAAAGAATTCTGGAATCCCTTACCCTAACCCTGAGCTCCTATGGCCAGAAAAAAGCAGGTTTTCGCCCTATCTATTGCTCAAAGTTAGCTTTGGAGGCAAAGGCTCAATACTATCTATCAAACTCAATAGTTCTTTCTCAATGAACATCAATAGGAGTATAGTACCCACATTGAAGGAAATAATATAGGGTATGGATGAGTGGTGCCTGGCTTAGAAATAGTCCATGAGAAAGGGATATAGGAGTGTTAGGAAACCTTTTTTGCTGCCGCATCACACTCTCAGCTCATGTTCAGCTCGTGGGTCTACTAAGACTCCAAAATCCCTTCCACACTAGACTCCTATGAATGCAGCCTAGAATCGCATTTGCCTTTTTTGCTGCTGCATCACACTCTCAACTCATGTAATCCGCTAAGACTCCTAGATGAGAATAAAGAAGAAGAGCGTGGGACTATGACTTCCCTCGATCTGGCCACTTAATCCCTATGGATGCAGCCTAGAATTGCATTGACCTTTTGAGCTGCTACATCACACTCTCGACTCATGTTTACCTTGTGATCCACCAAGACTCTTAGATCCCCGGAAGACCTCCAGCTATGTCATCTGGATCTTGGCCTGCAAGATGGACCTGGATTTCCTCTTGCTGCATAAGAGTGTGATGCAGCAGCTTTAAAAGCTAATGTGATTCTATTCCAGGTATGGGCAAACCGAAGCCTGGGAGCCAGATGCAGCCCTTTGGGCTCTTTGCTTAGGCCCTCCTCTCTCTCACCATCCTATCCTTCCTTCTCTCTTTCTTTCCTCCTTCCCTCCCTCATTCTCCTTCCTTCCCTTTTGTCTTTCCTTCCTCCTTACCTCCCTACCTCCCCTCCCTCCCCCTCTCTTCTCCTTCCTTCCTTCCTTCCTTCCTTCCCTTTTGCCTTTCCTTTTGTCTTTCCTTCCTTCTCTCTTTCCTTTATCCTTCCCTTCCTTCCTTCCTCCCTTCCCTTCCACCCTTTCATCCTTCTTTCCTACCCTTTTGTCTTTTCTTCCTTCCTCCCTCCCTTCTTCCCTCTTTCTCTTTCTCCTTCCATCCTTCCCTTCCACCTTTCTTCTCTCTTTCCTTCCTACCTCCCTCCTTTCCTTCCATCCATCCATCCTGCCTTCGCTTCCTTTCTTCCCTCTTCCTACTCCTCTTTCTCCTTCCTTCCTTGCCTTCCTTCCTTCCTTCTCTCTTTCCATTATCCTTCCCTTCCTTCATTCCATCATTCTCTTCCTCCCTTTCTTCCTCCCCTCCTTCCCTTCCACTCTTTCATCCTTCTTTCCTATCCTTTTGTCTTTTCTTCCTTCCTTCTTTCCTTCCTTCTTTCCCCRCTCCTTTTCTCCTCCCATTCTTCCCTTCCACCTTTCTTCTCTCTTTCCTTCCTTCTTCCTTCCCTTCCATCCATCCATCCTGCTTTCCCTTCCTTTCTTCCCTCTTCCTCCTCCTTTCTCCTTCCTTCCTTCCTTCCTTCCTTCCTTCCTTCCTTCCTTCCTTCCTTCCTTCCCTGTTGTCTTTCCTTCCTTCCCTCTTTCCATTATCCTTTCCTTCCTTCATTCCATCATTCTCTTCCTCCCTTTCTTCCTTCTCCTCTTCCTTCCTCCCCTTTTGTCCCTCCTTCCATCTCTCCCTCCTTCCCTCTCTCTCTTCCATACTTCCATTCCTCCCTTTCATCCTTCCTTCCTTCTCTTTTTCCTCCTTCCCTCCTCCCTCCCTCCCTTCCTTCCATCATCAAGCAGCCATTCCTCCTATCAGGGAGCGCTAACATGTTGTCCCCAAGTTAGAAAGTTTGCCCATGCCCGTCCTAGTCTGGAGTGTCTGCCCAAAGCAGAATAGAGTGGAATCATGACTTCCTTGGATCTAGGCACTATGTTCCTATTGATGCAGCCTAGAATCTCATTGGCCTTTTTCGCTGCCACAACACACTCTCAACTCAAGTTCAACTTGTGGTCTACTTAGATTCCTAGATCCCTTCCACATGGACCATGACCTTGTTCCATCTCTAGACACTAGACTCCTATGAATGCAGTCTAGAATTGCATTGACCTTTTGAGCTGTCACGTCACACTCTCGATCCACCAAGACTCCTAGATCCTGGAAGACCTTCAGTTATGTCATCTGGATCTCAGCCTGCGAGATGGACCTGGATTTCCTCTTGCTGGATAAGGAGAAGATGAAGTCCTCTCCGAAGGCTCCTTCAAAGGCCGCGAGGATGGACTGGCGGAACCGCTTCTGCCCCACAAAGACGTAGAGGATGGGGTTGATGCAGCTGTTGAAGAAGGCCAAGCTGGACGCCAATGGGATGCCGAGGTACAGGGCCATCTTGAGCTGGGGGCTGGCGGACGCTTTGGTCATCTCCAGCAAGGAAAAGACGTGGTAGGGGAAGTAGCAGAGGAAGAAGGAGGCCGTGACGGCAATTATGATCCGGAAAGGCTTGGAAGACTTGGTCAGGCGCCTCCGTTTCAGTCGTGAGGCCACAACACCATAGCAAATGGTGATGGCAGCAAAGGGGAAGGCAAAGCCAAGGAGGAACCTGGTGACCACCATGGCCTGGTGCCGCATCTGGTAGAGCCGGCGAGCCTCCGCCGTGTTGTAATTGTCAGAGAGGGCAAAGTTGTTGAAGCAGCTGGTGATGTTGTGGGAAGTGAGAGCGGTGTCTCGGAAGACGAAGTACGGGGAGCTGAGGGCAAAAGCGGCGGTCCAAGTGGCGACCACAACCCCAAAGGCCGCCCTCGGCGTGCGGTGGTTCCGGCACCAGACGGGCCAGACGACGGAGACGCACCGGTCCACACTGATGACGGTCAGCAAGAAGACGCTGGCAAACATGTTAAGGAAGGCAGCCGCACTGTTGAGCTTGCAGAGAAGCTTGCCAAAGGGCCAGTGGAAGCCCAGGGCGGTGTAGGCGATGCTCAGAGGGAGGAAGAAAGTGAAGACAAAGTCGGCCACGGCCAGGTTGAGGAGCCACACGGCGCTGACTGTCCGTGTCTTCATGCGGAAGCCGGCGATCCAGAGGACAAGACCATTCCCAATCACCCCCAAGATGCATGCGATGCCATAGATTGCGATGGAGAGGAGATGCATGCTGCGCTGGAGAACCACAAAGTGGACACTTTCGTACGGCAGAGTGGCATTTCCATGGACCAAGGTGAAATCAGGGAGCCGAGAGGTGTTCTCCATTCCACACCAAGGACTGAACTCCTGAAATCTCACAACAAAATCAATGATCAGTATTAACATTATTGTGTTGTCGAAGACTTTCATGGCAGGAATTACTATGTTGCTGTGAGTTTTCCAGACTATATGGCCGTGTTCCAGAACCATTCTCTCCGGACGCCCATAAATGTGGGTGAAACATCAGAAGAGAATGCTTCTAGAACATGGCCATACAGCCCGGAATACTCACAGCCACCCAATTATCATTATTATTTAGCCATCTCCAAGAGGCTGTTAGGAATTGTGGGAGATGAAATCCAGAACATCTGGAGGGCCAAATTTTGCCCAGGTCTGGAGTAGGTGATTGCACCTTAAACTAGTCGAACTTGGTTTACATCGTCTACAGTTCATGAAAAACCACTTTGCTCCATATCTTTTCCTCTCTGGAGTTGGAGGCAAAAATACATCCAATTTCTACCCAATTGATTTCATGATTTTCATAGAAAAAGAAAAGAAAAACTCACCTTGTTTTATTTTTTTGCCTCTTTCAACGTGTATCTTCTCTGAAACATCCAATTTTGGGCACATTTGATGCCAGTCCTCTTAACACATTTCTCTCTGGGTTGGAAATGCCAAGGCACACTGCTTTTTCAGCTGTGATTCACTATGACCCTGAAGCCTTTCCTTCTTCTTTCCATATGTCTACGTTTAGGGGAATTTGG